CCTTTAATGTTGATAGTCATGACTTCTTGAGATTTTATTATTCATGTTTATTTAAATAGATGAATTTATTTGTTTATTAATCGTTAGTAATATGGCTATAGTTAATCTTATTTTAAAAATGGTTGAGTATGATATTTACTCATTATTATGATCCGGACAGTAGCTTGTTTGTTAAAATATGTGATGGTACCTATCCTTATTTTATCCTAAATCCACTATTCCCTTCCCCCCATCCCCTTCCCTTACCGTATCCGTATTCTTCCTATTTCTTCCTTATGCATATAAACTCAATAAAATATTTTCAAAAAAAAAAAAGAAAAGAAAAGAAAAGAAAAAGAAATCACTATCTCATCCACACATTTATAGGATAGAAGTAACTCTAGAAAATGCTACTGGGCTAATGTTACCCTTAACTCTAGAATGACTCAGATCTGGAGATAGATTTATTTAAAGAAAGGAAGAGACATGAAAGGAAAGCTAAATTTATTATAATGATAGAATGCAAGAAAAGGATTGATTAGCCATTGTCTTAGAACAGTGGTATCAAAGTCAAGTAGGAACAGGAACCATAAGGATTCCCAGTGCAATAGACAGAGTTAAACCACACATGCTTATACATTTTTATTACTTTTGCATCAACACAACAATTGGGTAGGAAGTAGGTGTAACCTAAACCTAGAAAATAAGCATTATTATGAATGTGACAATTTTTCAATATGTGTATTTAAATAAAAGAAATGGAGATAGTGACAGATTTTATTTTCCTGGGCTCCAAGATCACCGCGGATGGGGACTGCAGCCAAGAAATTAAAAGACGCTTGCTCCTTGGGAGGAAAGCTATGGCAAATCTAGACAGCATACTAAAAAGCAGAGACATCACCCTGCCAACAAAAGTATGTATAGTCAAGGCCATGTTTTTCCCAGTTGCAATGTATGGATGTGAAAGCTGGACCAAAAGAAAGGCTGAGCGCCAAAGAATTGAGGCCTTTGAACTATGGCGCTGGAGAAGACTCCTGCAAGTCCCTTGGACTGCAAGGTGTTCAAACCGGTCGGTCCTAGAAGAGATCAAGCCCGACTGCTCTTTAGAAGGCCAGATCCTGAAGTTGAAACTCAAATACGTTGGCCACCTAATGAGAAGGAAGGATTCACTGGAGAAGAGCCTGATGCTGGGGAAGATTGAGGGCAACAGAAGAAGGGGACAACAGAGAATGAGGTGGCTGAATGGAGTCACCAAAGCAGTAGGCGTGAACTTAAATGGATTCCAGAAGATGGTAGAGGACAGGAAGGCCTGGAGGAACATTGTCCATGGGGTCACGATGGGTTGGACATGACTTCGCAACTAACAACAACAACAAATTTAAATATATTTGCATATATACAGTATGCTTGAAACACACACACACATACATTGATTTATTTCCCTTCCCAACCTACTTATAGCTTCCTCCCATTCTAATTATTGGGCAAAGCAATTCCACGCCTAATATTTCCACTTATCTACTTTCTATAATGATCCTTCTAATTTCTGACATCCTATGTGTGGGAAAATAAATGTCTTGTGCAATTTTTTTCAAATCAAGTACAAATTAATGCACCACAATACAAGAGTTTAATTGCAGATACATATAGTAGCAACATGTTAGAATATTTATGTATTTAATAAAATAATAATACAAATAAATAAAATAAAATAAATCTTGTCCCTCAATCAACTTCTCTGAGCTATTTTTTTTAAGTAGGAGAACAACCAAGCAGGAAGGAAATAACATTATACCCATTTTCAGTTATAAGAATCTTGGGGTTAAATTAATTATATATGTATGACAATGAGAGGAGAAACAATATGATAATTATTCTAAACCATAAAGCCATTATTTATTTATTCAAATTTATTTGCTGCCCATTTCTAGTGCATACTTTATATACATGTGATCTTGTTTTGGCAAAGAAAACTTAAACTTTAGTATTCATAGAATTTCAAAAAATAGTACAGATTTGAATATGAAATTAAAATTATTAGGACAGTTTCAATAGTTGGCATTTTTCCCATTGTTTTTTAATTTCTTGATTCTGGCTAGGATTTATTAAAAATGGTTGTCTTTTATATTCCATTATTTCCTTTTTTTGTTTATTCTTTGTATTTTTCTGCTTTGTTTATTTTCAATATTCTTGTTGGAAAAAAAACCCATAAAAAAATAAAAAAAAGAGATTTGGGTTTGGATTACTGGGATTTAAAAATTATGTATTCATTTCCAAGCATAAGAAATTAAAAAAGTTTTACCATAAGCCACTTAGACTCCAATCTGAAAAGTAATTATAAGTAATTGTCTCACTTTAAATCACTGTTCTGTTTTTTCTTATCAAGCAAACAATGGGTTGAACTCAAATCAGTAGTGTGCTTACAAAAATTAGAAGGTATCAGAAATGCTATATATACAGTATATCTCCATTGTACAATATTTTGCTTACAGTGAGTCTTAACTCATTATGATCATGCACTACTAATTTATACGATTGTTATAAACTTCAAGGTCTTGTCTCAGATAATAGCTGCTTCCTGATAATCTGATCCTGTTGTAATATTTCCATTGTCCATGTCACATTTTTGCAGACCCAAGAGAATCAACCATTTTATTTATGAGCAGCTTCTCCTTGAAGAACAGCCATCCTACATGAAATGTGTAATCTTCTCCTTAGTTCAGATGTGATCTTGGCACCCTCGGTGTTTATTATGGTAGCATCCCTGCAACTTCAGCATCTCCTCAGCAAAACGTAAAAGACTGTCTTAGTGTTGACTTTCCACTTCATTGGAGCCAGCATGAATTATTGCCATGTATGAAGTATCTCCTAGATATCACTCTACAGCGAAAGCAATATTTTCTATGTACACTGTATACAAAATGTATACTATGTATATAATCCCACCATAAACAGCTTCCTTAATATGAAAACCAGAGGGATCCATATAATGTCACCACTACGGAAAGACTATCAGTAGATTATTGTTGTTAGTTGCAAAGTCGTGTCCGACCCATCGCGACCCCATGGATAACGTTCCTCCAGGCCTTCCTGTCCTCTACCATCTTCTGGAGTCCATTTAAGCTCACTTCAGTAGATTACATGGAGCCTTAATGACATAGATGTCCATGAAAATATTCTGTATGAGTGCAAGTGCAGGAATTGAGTTTGGCTAGTCTAAAGAAAAGAAGAAATAGGGGTGAAATGATAGCAGTATTCTAGTATTTGAGGGGCTGCCACAAAAAAGAAGGGGTCAAATTATTCTCCAAAGCACCAGAGGGCCAGACAAGAAACAAGGGTTGGAAATTTATCAAAGAGAGAAGCAACCTGGAATTAAGGAGAAACTTCCTAACAGTGAGGACAATTAACCAGTGGAACAGCTTGCCTTCAGAAATTGTGGGCTCTCCATCACTGGAGGCTTTAAAAAAGAGACTGGAGAGTCACTTGTCTGAGATGGTTTAGGTTCTCCTGCTTGAGCAGGGGGCTGGACTAGAAGACCTCCAAGGTCCCTTCCAATTCTGTTCTGTTCTGTTCTGTACATTCCACTCCATTCCATCTGGTGGCACAGTAGTTAGAATGCAGTACTGCAGGCTACTTCTGCTGACTCCTGGCTGCCAGCAGTTTGGGAGTTTGAGTCTCACCGGCTCAGGGTTGACTCAGCCTTCCATCCTTCCAAGGTCAGTAAAATGAGGGCCAGATTGTTGGGGACAATAGGCTGACTCTGTAAACCACTTAGGGCTGCAAACAGTGGTGGGATTCAAATATGTGAACAACCAGTTCTCCGTGTGGATGCTGCTTCCGGAAGTCCATTCTGGGCCGGGGCAACAAAAAATTAGCTACCGGTTCTGCCGAAGTGGTATGAACCAGCTGAATCCCACCACTGGCTGCAAAGCACTGTGAAGTGGTATATAAGTCTATGTGCTATTGTTATTTTCCCTCAGTCTTTCACAATAAGCATGTATCATAAAAGGTTGCCTAAAGCCACATAGAAATCATAATGGCCAAGAGGAAAAGTTCAGTCGCTGCCATCGATCCCAGGAAGTGGAGTTGTAACAATCAGGAAAAAAAAAAAATAGAATTGCATTCTGTCATGAGATTCTCCAGCATTTCAAATGAAAAGAGATTTATTGAAAATGGGAGAAGCTTTAGGCAACAATAACAGATGGCCACATTTTCATTGCCAGAGCTGTTTGCCCTTGGCACTCACTGCTTGAGATCCCTGTATAGTTCAAAATATTTTTGTCATGCGAACAAGAAAATGCTTAGCTAATCTTGATAATATTTCATTTATTCATTTATTTGGAAAATGTACATAGCTATCCATCTTACCCAAATAAATGAATAGCTAACACGGTATAAAAACTAAAAGCAACACCAATTAAAAAAAATGAGGCTCCCTACAACATAATACAAAAACCTCATACGAGGATCTACTAAGATCCTGCCCCTGAGGATGAGGGAACAACCAGGTTTTCAAGGCCTTCAGGAAGACCAAGAAGTTCTCCCCCCTGGTTCAAGTTGTCCTCTGGTATTCTTTTACCAGCTCTTTAGAAGGCCAGATCCTGAAGTTGAAACTCAAATACCTTGGCCACCTAATGAGAAGGAAGGACTCACTGGAGAAGAGCCTGATGCTGGGAAAGATTGAGGGCAATAGAAGAAGGGGATGACAGAGAATGAGGTGGCTGGATGGAGTCACTGAAGCAGTAGGCGTGAACTTAAATGGACTCCAGAAGATGGTAGAGGACAGGAAGACCTGGAGGAATGTTGTCCATGGGGTCGCGATGGGTCGGACACGACTTCGCAATTAACAACAACATTCTTTTACCAAGTCCCCAGGATCAGTCCTTGGGCTTCTCTCATGAGACTTGTTAGAGAAAAAGTTCTCTCCTCTCTCTGGAGTTTTGAATCCTCTAGGATCCAGGGGCTCTTTAACATCTTTGTGGTGGATTTATGTAAGCAGCTTCCATTAATATTCAACCATTTGCTTTCTAGAGGACAGACTATATGAAGATTCTGAGGAATCTTCAGAATGTTACATTGCCAGCGAATATTACAGAATTTCAGGATTTCCTTAAGAAGTCTCCCACCTCCCTAAACATAATCAGAAAAGGATCAACAAAGTAAGATTGTGTTTCATAGTTTGGATCCTCACATTATGCAACTCATGAGAAGATATTTTATTTTCAAAGGATATCCAGTGGAACATTAAGAGAGTTTTATTGTCAGCTTTTCACTAATGCTTTAACATTTAAATCTTTTGAGCCTGTACATTTTGATGCTCTGTCTAGATGGAAAAGGCCATCTAGGAATGGCTGGTTATTGGTGGTATATAATGGAACCAAATTACATCTAATGGGAAATTAAGTTTCCTTTGATTTAAGTCACTTTTCTCCAATCCTTCCCCTACATTTTTTCATTCCATTCAACTCTGTCTGTTTTTCTGAGGACGGAGAGAAAATGATTGGCCTAAAGTCACCTAGGTGTCACCTTTGGGCTGGATTAGAATTCCGATCTCCCGGTTTCTACCCTAATGCCTTAATTTCTAGTATTTTTTATTTCCTAGCTGGAATATTAATGCAAGGTTTCAGATTTAGAAGGGATGTATTTCAAAGGGTACACATAAAAATGTTTGTAATTGTTATTGAATTTTCATTATTTTTAGAATCTCAGAAATAGTAACCAAAGTTATTACATGGCAGAACACCCAATTAAAACATGTACACACATGCACATTTGAGGGACCAAGTTCTCAGTTCTGAGAAAAGGTCCTAGAGTGATTGTGTAATTCATTAAGATAACATAATCACAAATAAATTCACAGGTCATTTTAAATTAAAATTGCAGACGTTCTTTCCTATTTCCAAGGATTTAATCCAAATTATTAATTCTGAGTACATACAAATGAAAAACATAAAGGTGTCTAATTTGAGAACACTATATAATTTTTCAGAAGAATTGTTTAATTCTTATTTTATGTTTCTTTTCTGTTTTCAGACTACTATGTGCATGATATCATGAAAAAAGACAACCAATCCTGTTTGAAAGAGTTCATCCTTCTTGGCTTCTCAGATTTTAAGCTTATGAAAGAACTTCTGTTTTGTCTGGTTCTAACATTTTACCTCATGGCTTTGGTCGGCAACAGCCTGGTTTTGACCCTCACCATTGCCAGTCCCACACTCCACACCCCAATGTACTTCTTCCTCTGGAACTTGTCCTTTTTGGAAATTGGCTACACCTCCACCATCATCCCAAAGATGCTAGTAAATTTGTTATCAGAGAATCAGACTATATCCTTTTGGGGCTGTGGGTGTCAAATGTGCTTCTTTCTTCTCTTCAGTGTCACTGAGTGTTGTCTTCTTTGTGCTATGGCATATGACCGTTATGTTGCCATTTGCAAACCCTTGCAATACCCCTGTATCATGAACGACAAGAAATGTGCTAACCTAGCTGCCATCTCATGGACCTTTGGCGCTTGTGTGAGTTTGGGACAATCTATTTCAATCTTCACTCTTCCCTTCTGTGGGTCAAATAGAATCAGCCATTTCTTCTGTGATCTTATGCCTGTTCTGAGACTGACTTCTATCAATACCTACAAAAATGAAGTGGCCAATGCAACACTAACTGTGGTATTTGTCCTGGTACCTCTTTTGCTCATCCTCTTTACTTACGTCCTCATTGTCTCCACTATTCTCACAATGCCAGTGGCCACGAACAGGCACAAAGCATTTTCTACTTGTTCCTCACATCTCATGGTTGTTTTCATTTTCTTTGGAACCATCATTATTACCTACATTCATCCCAATTCAGCATCTTCTGAGGATGATAACAGGCTCCTTGCCCTGCTCTACACGGTAGTGACCCCAAGCCTGAACCCCATCATTTATAGCTTGAGGAATAAAGAGATAAAAGCTGCTTACAAAACATCAGTAGCAAGGAAATGGGTCTTTTTAAGGTAACAATCCAATATAATAATCCAATAATAATTGACATCCCATTTCATCTTTTCTAGAAATCACCATCTCATTCAAACATTTATGCAATAGAAGGAATGCTAGAAAATGCTAGTGGCTACTATCAGCCTTTATTCTAGAATGATTCAGATCTGGGGATAAATTTATTTAAAGGGAAGAGACCTGAATAGGAATAGCTATAGTATTTAGACATATGCTGCTTCATAATCTTTTACAGCACTCTCTAAAATATTTAAAGTGTCAGCATATTGCCCGCAAACATTTGGATCCTCACTTTACTAAACATGGAAGGATGGAACTGAGTCAACTTTGAGCCTGTTAGGATCAAACTCCTAGCAGTGGGCAGAGTTAGCCTGCAATACTACATTCTAACCATCGCACTGCCAGGGCTCTTGAAAGGAAAATTAAATTTACTATAATGATTGAATGCAATAAAAGTGTTGATTGGCCATTTTCTTGGAACTGTGATGTCAAAATCAGGTAGAAACAGGAGCCATAAGGATCCCCACAAGGGATATAGTGACTTAAACCATATATGCTTATAAATCTCTTTGATTATTATTATTGCATCAACACAACAATCAGATATGAAGTAGATGTAACTAAAACATAGAAATAAACATTATTATGAATGTGACAATTTGTTTTCAATATTTGCATTTAAATATATTTGCATATATAGAGTATGCATGCACATCAACACACACATACACACACACATTTATTTATTTATTTCCCCCCAATACCCTCATAGCTTCCTCCCAATTTAACAATTGAGCAAACCATCTCCACATCCAATATTCCCAGTTATTTCCTCTCTATAATATTCCCTCTAATTTCTGATATCCTATATCAGAAAAAGAAAAAATGTCTTGTGTGGTTTTCCTCAATGCAAGTACAAAATCGAATTGGCCCTAGAAAGTTAAGCCCAGCTGAACCTAAACCATGACATGTTCAAGAGAAGCGTCTTTTTGGCTGACATTCCCAAGCCACAGCGGTCACCAGTGCTCCCCAAGCGTCTACCAGAGCCCCCATCAAATGCTATTGATGCAGTCAAGTGGTCATCATGCTGTGGAATGCCTAGCTCCTATCCCCCAGGCCCAAAGCAGACCTGCTGCCACCGCTAAACCATGTAGAGCTCCACTGGGGGAGGGGAAGAGAGAAGTCCAATTGGGCCCATCAGGATCCAGTCGTGGAGGTCTCCTCTCCTACCAAGAGCCGAGGTGACGCAGCAGTTAGAGTGCAGTACTGCAGGCCACTTTAGCTGGCTGTGTTCAGCAGGTCAGTGTTTCAAATCTCACCGGCTCAAGGTTGACTCAGCCTTCCATCCTTCCAGGGTAGGTAAAATGAGGACCCAGATTGTTGGGGGCAATGTAAATATATATATACATTGCTTATTGGTGTACACCGCTTAGAGAGTGCTTGCACTTAAAGCAGTATATAAGTCTCCTAAATAAATAAATAAATAAGGTGAGGAGAAAGCTCCTCCTGAGTGACAACAAGCACCAGCGCCTTACGAGACTGATGAGGATGATGAGGATGACCCCATGGTAAGTTGTCCCATCCCACCTCTCGCTATTCCTACCAAGATTATATTACCCAAGACAGGCTCAGATGGATTTGGACATTTTAATAGATTCAGGTTGCACCAGATGCTGAATTAACTTGCCCACTGTCCTTAAGTTGGGAATTCACACCAAATTACTGCCCATAGCCATGAAATTTGAACAAGTGGATGGGTCGCTTTTCAATGATTCCTCAGCAATGCACTTAACAGAGCCGTTGTGCCTGGAAATGGGACAACACCGGGAGATTATTGGCTTGTAGTGGTTCCCAAGATGAACAGTGATACTAGGATTGGCTTGGCTGGACAAATGGCGCCCCAATATTTGGTGGGAGGATGGCGTGCAAACTTTGTGATTAGCCATAGGACTTCTCTCACCAACCGAATCCAGTGAGGTCAAGGGGGTTGCTACCACTGAAGCCCATAGGGAGCCTATTGAGACATTAAAAGCTGCTGTGGAACAGTTACTGGTCTGTTACAACAAGTGGCAGATCCTTCCCAACCTTGGGACGAAATAGCCATGGACTTTATTGTAGAATTGCCTGAGAGCAAGGGGACTACTGTTGTGTTTTTTCTTATCAAGCAAACAAGGGGTTAAATTCAAAACAGTAATGTGATTACAAGAATCAGGAGGTATCAGACATGCTATATATACCATATATCTCCATTGTACAATATTTTGCATAAAGCCATATAGAGATCATAGATAATGATGGCTAAGAGGAAGAATTCAGTTCCTGTCATAGACACCAGGAAGTAGAGTTGTAACAGCCAGAAAAAGAACTGCATTCCGTGGAGAGATTTTCTAGCATTTCAAATAAAAAGGTTTATTGAAAATGGGAGAAGTTTAGGCAACAATAACAGATGGCCACATTTTCATTACAAAGCCAACTATTTGACCTTGCCACTCACTGTTTAAGATCCTTGAATGGTTTATCATATTTTTGTCACGTGAACAAGAAAGTGCGTAGCTAATCTTGATAACATTTCATTTATTCATTTATTTGGAAAATGTACATAGCTACCCATCTCAACCAATAAATGAATAGCTAACACAATATAAAAACAAAAAGCAACACTAATTAAAAAAAATTGAGGCTCCCTACAACATAATACAAAAACCTCATGTGAGGATCTACTAAGATCCTGCCCCTGAGGATGAGGGAACAACCAGGTTTTCAAGGCCTTCAGGAAGACCAAGAAGTTTCCCCACCCTGGTTCAAGTTGTCCTCTGGTATTCTTTTACCAAGTCCCCAGGATCAGTCCTTGGGCTTCTCTCATGAGACTTGTTAGAGAAAAAGTTCTCCCCTCTCTCTGGAGTTGTGAATCCTCTAGGATCCAGGGACTCTTTAACATCTTTGTGGTGGATCTATGTAAGCAGCTTCCATTAATATCAACCATTTGCTTTCTAGAGGACAGACTATATGAAGATTCTGAGGAATCTTCAGAATGTTACATTGCCAGCGAATATTACAGAATTTCAGGATTTCCTTAAGAAGTCTCCCACCTCCCTAAACATAATCAGAAAAGGATCAACAAAGTAAGATTGTGTTTCATAGTTTGGATCCTCATGTTAGGCAACTTCATGAGAAGACGTTTTATTTTCAAAAGATATCCAGTGGAACATTAAGAGAGTTTTATTGTCAGATTTTCACTAATGCTTTAACATTTAAGTCTTTTGAGCGTTGGCCAATCATGCCTAAAGTTTTTGTACATTTTTTTGGTCTGTCTACATGGAAAAGGGAATTTAATATGTAACAGGAATCACTGATCACTATAATATATAATGGAAATAAACTGTACCTAATGGGAAATTAAACTTACTTTGATTTAAGCCACTTTTCTCCAATCTCCAATCTTTCCCTCCCCCCTCCTTTTTTTTTTAACCTTCCACTGAATCCTGTCCGATTCTCAAACACTTCCTGTACAAGTACCTTCAGTTTTCTTGGCAAGGTTTTTCAGAAGTAGTTTGCCCTTGTCTCTTTCCTAGGGCTGAGAGAAAATGATTGGCCCAAGGTCACCCAGCTGGCTTTATGCCTTTTGTGGGACTAGAATTCCTGATCTCCCAGTTTCTACCTTAATGCCTTAACCACTAGTATTTTTGATTTCCAAAGAAGAATATTATTGCAAAGTTTCAGATATAGAAAGGATACATTTCAGAGGAAGTGTGCAAAAATATTACTTATTCTTACTGAATTTTCATTATTCATAGAATCTCTAAAGTAATAATAGAAACTATTAGATGGCACACCAACAATTAAAAAAATAACACACATAGACTTGAGGGACCAAACTGAGAGCTTGAAGATTATTCAGTTCTGAGAAAAGATCCTAAAATGATTGTTTGATTCACTAAGATGATATAATCACCAATAAATTCATAGGACATTAAATTAACATTGCAGGCTTTCTTTCCTATTTGCAAGGATTTAATCCATATTACTACTTCTGAGTAATAGAAAGGAAGCTGGACATAGGTACTGTATCTAGTTGAGAAAACAATATAATTTTAATAATTATTTATAAGACTGGTTTAATTCTTTATTTAACGTTCCTTTTCTGTTTTCAGGCTATTATGTATATAATACCATGAAGGAGTGGTCTTGTGGCTTAGTGGTGAAGACTTTTGCCTCCAACCCGAAAGTTGAGAGTTCAATCCTTGGTAGTGGCAGATATTTTTCTCCTAGGGTGCAAAGAAAAAAAATATCTGTTGCAAACTCTGTATGGCTTCAGGAAGGACATCTGGCCAATAAACGCTGAGTTCCATCCAATCGTCCTGGTTCTACTCTGAATTAAGGGATTACAGGGTCATTAGAAAGGAAGTTAGATGTATGAGACCATGAAAAAAGACAACCACTCCTGTTTGACTGAGTTTCTCCTCCTCGGTTTCTCAAATTTCAAGTCTATGGAAAAACTTCTGTTTTGTCTGGTTCTAATATTCTACTTCATGGCTTTGATGGGCAACAGTCTGGTTTTACTCCTCATCATTGCCAGTCCCACCTTTCACACCCCAATGTACTTCTTCCTCTGGAACTTGTCCTTTCTGGAAATTGGCTACACCTCCACCATCAGCCCAAAGATGCTAATGAATTTGTTAGCAGAGAACCAGATTATATCATTTTGGGGCTGTGGATGTCAAATGTGTTTTTTCCTTCTCTTCAGTGTCACTGAGTGTTGTCTTCTTTGTGCTATGGCGTATGACCGCTATGTTGCCATTTGCAAACCCTTGCAATACCTTTATATCATGAATTACAAGAAATGTGCTAAACTAGCTGCCATCTCATGGGTTTTGGGAATTTCCGTGTGCTTAGGGGAATCTATTTCAATCTTCACCCTTCCCTTCTGTGGGTCAAACAGAATCAGTCACTTTTTCTGTGATCTTATGCCTGTTCTGAGACTGACTTCCATTAATACTTACAAATATGAAGTGGGCAATGCCACCCTAACTGTGGTATTTGGTCTGGTTCCCCTTTTGCTCATCCTGTTTTCCTACATCCTCATCATCTCCACTATTTTCACAATGCCAGTGGCCACGAACAGGCGCAAAACATTTTCCACTTGTTCCTCACATCTCATTGTTGTTTTCATTTTCTTTGGAACCATCATTGTTACCTACATTCATCCCAATTCAGCTTCTTCAGGATCTGTGGATGATAACAGGTTCCTTGCCGTGCTCTACACGGTAGTGACCCCAAGCTTGAACCCCATCATTTACAGCTTGAGGAATAAAGAAATAAAAGCTGCTTTCAATACATTAGTAGCAAGGAAATGGGTCTCCTTTAGGTAATAGTTCAATGTAATAATCCAATAATAATTGATATGATCCCTTTCTATCAATCAGTTTCATCTCTTTGACAAATTACCATTAATCATAATTAATTGTCTTACTTGTTATTGTTATCCTGTTTTTTCTTATAAAGCAAATTATGCATTGAACTCAAATGGGGAATATGATATCTACAAGAATAATATACTGTATATATCTTTATAGAATTCCATTATTTTAGCATCTTTTTCATATCTCGTTTTAATTTGCAAATATGGCCACCATGATAGATCAATACCTTGTTCTTGTAAATCTTGTCCATCTTTCAATTTTCCTTCATTGTTCAAGATATCTTTATAGGTCACAACTTTGTCGTAATTAATTAAATTTGGGTAAGCAAAAGCCTCCGTTGTTGAAAGCTATCCAGGTATCTTGATATAAATTTTTGCTTTTATTTTTTCCCATTCTGAAAGAAGTGCATTTCTTATAAAGTGGTTTTGAAAGTATCTATGTATTTTATTCTTTCCATACCACAGAAAAGCATGCCAACCATGCTTGTAAGTTATGTCCCTCTAGGTACAATAGTCTTTTGTCTCTAAGCATTATCCATTCTTTAAGCCATGTTAAATTAGTTGCTTGGTAATGTAATATCCAGTCGGGCAGTCCAAACCCTCCACTTTCTTTCGCTTCTTGTAGCATTTTAGCCTAATTCTAGCTTTTTTCTCTTGCCAGATAAATTTCAGTATTGTTATAGTCAATTCATCAAAAAAGGCTTTTCCCAGCCTTAAAGAATCGTTTGAAATAAAAAGAGTATCTTTTTCACTGTTGCTATTCTCCCCAGCATTGAAAGTTGTACGTTTTTCTACTTTTCAAGATCCAGTTTTATTTGTTTTAGCAGTCTTACATAGTTATCTTCTTTTATTGTTACACATCTTGCTGTTAGATAAATTCCTAAATATTTAACTTTTTTAACTATTTGAAGATTTGTTTCTTTTGCTAGCTGATTTTTTTGTTTTTCTGTTAGATTCTTTGTTAGCACTTTAGTTTTTTTCTCTGTTTATTTTCAACCCTGCCACTTCTCCAATTTTTTCTATGTTCTCCATACGTTTAGTGCTTGTTTCCAATGGATCTTCCAATATAAAACCCAAGTCATTTGCAAATGCTTGTAGTTTATATTTTTCATCTTTTAACTCCAGTCCTTTAATTTCTATATCTTGTCTGATGTTTCTATTCAATACTTCCAGTGTTAGTATAAATAATAATGGAGATAATGGGCATCCCTGTCTTGTGCCTTTTTTAATGTTAAAGTTTTCTGTAAAATCTCTATTTACAATTATTTTGGTTGTTTGTTACAATAAATTATTTTAATTACATTTATAAAGTTTTCTCCAAAATCCATTTCCGCTAGTTGCTGGAACATGAATTGCCAGTTTACATTGTCAAACGCTTTCTATACATCAAGAAATATTAATTTTAGCAAGAAGAAGACCATTGAGCAATTAATTAACATATTGTTTATGATAATTAACTATTATCTATTATTTTTTGTTAAACACATGAACCAAGACATTATGCTGTTTGCTAAATATTAAGAATCTTATTAAAAAAACCCTAACCCTAACCCCAACCCATCCTAACCCTAACCCACAGCCCCAATCGTGACCCCACCTCATTCCTAATCCTATAAAAACTAATAAAATTTAGTTTTATAAATAAATAAAATAAATAATATATATATATATATATATATATATATATATATATATATGTATATGTATATGTATATGTATATGTATATGTATATGTATATGTATATGTATATGTATATGTATAGAATAATATACTGTATATATCCATTATACAATATTTGCTTACGGGGAGTTTTAACTCATTATGATCACAGAATTACTAATTTATAAGGTCATTATAAATTTCAAGGTCTTCTCCCAGATAATAGCTGCTTCCTGATAATCTGATCCTGTTATAGTATCTCCAGCAATTCAGACATTGTCCATTCCACATTTTTGCAGACCCAAAAAAATCAAATATTTTATTTATGAGCAGCTTCTCCTTGCAGAACAGCTATCCTACCTGAAACGTGTGTCCCTCTTCCTTGCTCAGATGTGATCTTGGCACCCTTGGTGTTTATTATGGTAGCTGGTAGCATCCCTGCATTTTACTGACTATGTTCAGCATCTCCTCAGCAGAAATATAAAAGACTTTCTCAGTCTTGACTTATCATTCATTGGAATGAGCATGAATTATGGGGTTATCATGGTCATGTATGAAGTATCTCCTAGAAATCTACTCCCCAGAAAGCAGTACTGTCTCCATAAACACTCTCTAGGAAGCAGTATTTTCTATGTACATTTTATACAGAATGTATGTTATGTGTATAATCTTCCTTAAGATGAAAATCTTAAAATCCTCAAGATGTCACACACTATACTAAACATTGCAAAGCAAAAAGAATTGAATACTTTATTTGGCCAAGTGTGTTTAGACACACAAGGAATTTGCCTCCAGTACAGAAACTCTCAGTGAATATCCAGAGCAACAGAATAATAGTCATAGTCATAGTCATAGTCATAGTCATAGTCATAGTCGTAATAGTAATAGTAATAATAATAATATGTTGCAAGCACCTGCAACATAACACCCCAGACTTAACAATTGTCAATAAGAAAGACAAAAAAGTCTGGATAGTGGACGTGGCAGTGCCTGGAGACAACAGAATAGATGAGAAAGAACTGGAGAAGATAACAAAATACAAAGACCTACAAATAGAAATAGAAAGACTGTGGCAAAGGCAAACAACGGTAGTACCAATAGTAATAGGTGCCTTGGGTGCAATCCCAAAACAACTGGAGCACCACTTGAACACCATTGGCATTGAAAAATTTGCCATCAGTCAATTGCAAAAGGCGGCCTTACTAGGAACTGCTTCCATCCTATGACAATATCTGTAATATCACCAAATATCCACATCTGCCTATCCCAGGTCCTGGATAAGGACTCGATAGGTAGGCAAATAGGTAGTCTGAACATCTGGCTGACTGTGCGGTGATCCTCAATAATAATAATAATACCAATAAAGGGGAGCAAAGAAGACAATAATAAGAACAAATAATAACATTACAGCCATACTACATGGATAAATATACATAGATATTAGTTAACATTGTGAGAATTAGGTGTTTAGAAGAGTGTTGACACTAGGGAAAAAACTGTCCCTGTGAATAGTTGCTTTGGCATACAATGCCCTATCACACCATCCTGAGGAGAGGAATTGAAACAGTTTATGTCCAGGATGTGAGGAGTCTGCAGATATCTTTTCAGCCCTTTAAGAGCTTCTGGGGCATACAAGTCAAGAATATATGCTGTAGATCTCCTTCGTGGATGATGACTGGAGATGTATAAGGATAACAATTGGCAGAATGAATAATTTAATTATGTTTGAGACTGAAATCATGTGAACATCAGACAATATGAATTGGAGGAGATATGAATGGAATAAATTGCCATTATTATAGCCAGGGAGTAGGAGACATATTAAAAGTACTCATAGCGCACAGATTTTCCATGTGATCATCATGATAGATAGTGTGCTCAGGGACAATATAAATTATCCCACTAATTGCCATTATCTTTTGGACTACCATAACTATAAGACTGAAATGGCCAGAAAGTCCTGGAAATAAAAACCAAAATAGCCAGCATCTTAAGGCACTGGGTTTCCTACCACTTCTAAATAATGTTTCCCCATGATCCAGTTTATTCTCTGGTATTCATTAACTAAATCCCCAGGATGAATTCTCAGGCTTCTGTCAGGAGATCTTGTTAGAGAAAAAAGTCCTTTTGTCTCTCCAGAATTTCTGGTCTTCTAGGACTCAAGTGATTTTATAGGCTCCTTCACAGTCTTTGTTGTTGGCTGATCTAGAATGTCTGCATATAAGAAATATATATATATATTTTAGATAAAGGGATGCATGAAGATTCACTTATGGCAAGCCAGTTTCCAGGATCTTCAATTGTTAGTGTATATTAGTGCATTTCATGTTTTTCACGAGAATAAATATTCTATCTTTCTCAGAAAACAATTCTAAAGTAAGGTCAATATGTTCCTTAGCATCATGATTGGGGATTGGTTCTTCCTGTTGTACAACTCTATGAAATGTTTCATTGATCCAACTTATTACTAGTAGTGTAAGATGGTGTATTAGTCATGTAGATTTCAAGTGGAGCTAGGCTAATTCATTGTTAAAAATGATTTAATTAATGACTTAATTTTTCATTTAATGATCTTCTTTGTTCTCAGATTTCAATCATGAAGAAAGAGAACTGGACCTGTTTGACTGAAATTGTCCTATTAGGCTTCTCAGATTTTCAGTCTATGCGAGAACTCATGTTTTGCCTGGTTCTAATATTCTACCTCATGGCTTTGATGGGTAACAGCTTCATTTTGATCCTCACCATTTTCAATCGTCCCCTTCACACCCCAATGTACTTCTTCCTTTGGAACTTGTCCTTTTTGGAAATTGGCTACACCTCCACCATCAGCCCAAAGACACTAGTAAATTTGTTATCAGACAACCAGAATATATCCTTTTGGGGCTGTGAATGTCAAATGAGTTTCTTCATTCTCTTTGGTATTACTGAATGTTGTCTTCTTTGTGTTATGGCATATGACCGCTACGTTGCCATTTGTAAACCCTTGCAATACTCATATATCATGAACCTCAGGAAATGTGCTAAGCTTGCTGCTGCATCATGGGCCATTGGTGTTTCTGTTTGTCTGGGGCAATCTATTTCAATCTTCACCCTTCCCTTCTGTGGGTCAAATAGAATCAGCCATTTCTTCTGTGACCTTATGCCTGTTCTGAGACTGGCTTCCACTAATACTTACAAAAACGAGGTGGCCATTGTCACAATAACAGTTCTAATTATTCTGGTACCTCTTTTGCTCATCCTTCTTTCCTACATCCTCATCATTTCCACTATTCTCACAATGCCACTGGCCAACACCAGACGCAAAGCATTTTCCACTTGTTCCTCACATCTCACTGTGGTCTGCATTTTCTTTGGGACTGGCATTTTTACCTACATTCGTCCCAACTCAGAATATTCCATGGAAAGTAGCAGATTCCTTGCCTTGTTCTACACAGTGGTGACCCCAAGCCTGAACCCCTTCATTTACAGCTTGAGGAATAAAGAGATAAAATATGCTTTCATGAAATCTGTAGTAAGGAAACAAATGTTCTTAATAGGATAATCGAAATAGATCCATAGGTTTGATGTCTTCAACACAATGTAGTTGTCGTGCATAAATATATGCGGTAGAATGGACTCCAGGGGATACCAGTGGCATATTTCACCCTTTATAAAAGAAGTGTGACAAATTTATTTAAAACAAGGAAAGAACCCTGAAAGGTAACTTAAGTCCATTATTCTGGTACAATTCAAATAATGAGTTGACCAGCCATTTATTCAAAAGGAAAGCTACTAGACTGTTCATAAAGTCTAAAGAAAAGGGGGGAGGCAAAGGAAGGAGATAAAAGATGCTTTCAAGAAATCAATAGCAATCAGAGTGTGACTATGAAGCAGTGGGGAAGACTCCTAAAATAGTTTTTTTGAAAAAAAGAAGGCAATATTCCATGAACGCAATTTCTGAATAGGGAGTTACAATCTTTTGCTTTCCCAGGCCTCTGTTTACCTTGTGTTTTCTTCTCCTTCTCCAAGGCTACCATCATTTGTTGGTCTTCTTAAAATTTTAAAACAGAATAACAGAGTTGGAAAGGACATTGGAGGTCTTCTAGTCTAACCCCCAACCTGAGCTGGAGACCCCATACCATTTCAGACAAATGGCTGTCAAATCTCTTCATAAAAACCTGCAGTGATGGAGCATCCAATGCCTGAGCTGATAGTTAGTTACTCTGGAAAAATGTAAAAGTATCTCTTTTGTAGAAAGGATAGTTGTGTAATTTGAAACCATATAGCTGTGCCAATGCTTTATTTTCTTTGAGAAGATGTATTTGGCTTTAGGAGCTTCTAACTTGAGTTGTAGAAAGATTTACAACTTTCACACAAAAGGAGGTAAAAGAGTATCAGACAGTACATATACAACTGAGCACTGAATTCAGAGATGGTGCCACCTAGGAACTGTAGTCTATTTTTTTAAATATTCCCTGATATATTAGTCTTATTATAATTACTAACTAATTCTGTTCTTATTAAAAAGTTCTGTAATCCATTTATGCATTGATATGATATCAGTGTTTCATTATCCTTAGTGAAATATTTCTTATTCTCTTATATATTGTGGTATGTTCATTTCAGACAAGTGGCTGTCTAGTCTCTTCTTAAAAATCTCCAGTGATGGAGCGCCCACGATTTCTGAAGGCAAGCTGTTCCATTGGTTAATCGTCCTCATTGTTAGGAAGTTTCTCCTTAATTCCAGGTTATTTCTTCAAATATTGGAATACTGCTGGAAATAGATGGAAAAGAATATCTATATGGATCTAAGCTTATATGCCCCAGAAAGACCCAGTTCTCTTGAAGATGGTTTCTCCTAATTTTTTCATGTGGAAATATCTTGGATTTAAGTGGGAAATAGTTCAGTTGCTGGGATTCTCATAACCTCATCTCATTCATCTCAATAAATTTTGCTAAAAACAATCTGTGAGACTCATGGTTGGAAATGTGGAAAATGAAAATATTGGCTATTGTTCTTTTATGCATGAAGCTTTGCCCGACAGGAGAGCAAGTGCTAGTAATCTCTGCTCCCCACCAGCATGCAATCTCCAGCCTGGACAGCACCAACAAGAACTGAATTCCGATTTGCCATTCTCGGACACTTGAAAAACTTCATACCACCTTTCCAACACAATGAATGCCCAGAGGCGCATGAAGGAGACTATGTGCTCCAGGAAAATGCCTCATGCTTGTTGTATGGACTATAGTTGTATTGTTGTTTATTGGCATTTGTATTCTTTTATCATGAATCTTAAATCTACTGAGGTTGTATGTATTTCTCAATAAAATACTTCCTTTACATGCCCCTCTGAAACTATTGTAGACACTTTACCTCAGAATTCCTCTAATCTTATCTTTTTACTTATGTTTTGTGTTGTCCTTATAGACAGGAAGTGGGGACTGTGGAAAACAAAAATATTGTTCTTTTATGCAAGGTTTAGGCCCAGGTGAACTAAATCAGGCCTCATGGATATAGTATTGAACCAAAGTCTGTGCTATGCTTAATTTTGCAGTTTGCAATTGTACTTTACTTAATATGATTTTGTTAAGCTTGCTAGTTTCAAATATATTTAGAACATAAAGTCTGGAACAGTAAGAAATAGGGAACTGAAAGTAGTTGATGGATGCCGGTTCCAATGTACACAGGTATATGTGGAAAGTTATGTTCAGCAGAAGTCAGCAAAAGTCAGCAGACCATCTGACTGCAGTCTTAGAACGGGAAAGGGTATAAAAAGTTGGGTCTGGACCTGACTGATTTGCCATTGGCCTATAGCTATCCTTTGGAGTGCTATGTCAGTGGACCTCATTGCAATGGGTTATTAATGTAAGTTATGTTGTGTTATTATGCATGCTATGTTCCAAATTATTAGCAAAATAAACCTCTGAATCTTAAAGTAAGAATTATTGTTTCGTGTTGCTGTCTTATGTTCTTTTCCTTGGGTTTTTTTCCACAACAGTAAAGAAGTAGTGTTCAAATATCCGAGGGGCTGCCACAAAGAAGAGGGGGGTCAATCTATTCTCCAAATCACCTGAAGACAGCACAAGAAGCAATGGATAGAACCTAATGAAGGAGAGAACCAACCACGAACTAAGGAGAAATTTCCTAACAACGAGAACACGTAATCAGTGGAATGGCTTGTCTCCAGAAGTTGTGAGTGCTTCAACACTGGAAATTTTTAAGAACCTGAAATAGTATAGGGTTTCCTGCTTGAGTAGGGGGCTGGCCTAGAAGACCTCCAAGGTCCCTTCTAACTCTGTTATTGTGTTCTGTGAATTATGTTTGCAACATTGAGTTTCCCTTCCAGCTGGCATTGTTGAGAAGGGGAGGGCAGGTAGCTTTGGGAAATGAGGATACTGCCTTTCAGCTAGGGGGGTGGGGGGTCATAAATGATTTCAGCAGTGGGTCAGCAAAATCAAAACTGCCTTAGTTTAGCTTCCTCGTCTGGAATGGGAACAGAACACATCAATAAAGCTGAGAGAAAAGTGCTGGACATAGTTATTACAGTAGGCAGGAAGGCATCATGGGTTCACATTGAAATGTTATTACCTTGGTATTCTATGCTGCATCCAACATTGTGGACCAGCTGAAGCTCCTATTCTTTTCAAGGCAGCCCTTTGTAGAGGCCATTGCAGTAGTCTAACCAGAAAGGCACTAATCAATAACTTCTTGGAGATAAGAATGAGTTAAACATCCTCTGAAGTACAAGAATCTCTTGCCATTGATTTTCCTAAAATGCTGGAAAGTTGTATTTCATTTGGTGAAACTTTAACATTTATATGCATGTTGTCAGAGTACGATATAAAAAAAGTAATCACTGCATGCCATAAATTATACAAACATAATACCCCCCTCTGTAGATATTTACCTAAAGAGTTTTGTATTGCTTTTAAATGATTTTTCAGTAGGAATTAGGAGTTTAATTTGCAGATATTTTATTTTTGGAGCTTCTGGGCCATGCAAGTCAAGAATAGGCCAACACAGTGCTAGGCTGCATTAACAGAGGGATAGAATCAAGATCACCTGAAGTATTAATACCACTCTACAATGCCTTGGTAAGGCCACACTTGGAATACTGCATCCAGTTTTGGTCACCACAATGTAAAATAGATGTTGAGACTCTAGAAAGAGTACAGAGAAGAACAACAAAGATGATTAGGGGATTGGAGGCTAAAACATATAAGGAACGGTTGCTGGAATTGGGTATGTCTAGTTTAACAAAGAGAAGGACGAGGGGGGACATGATAGCAGTGTTCCAATATCTCAGGGGCTGCCACAAAGAAGAGGGAATCAAGCTATTTTCCAAAGCTCCTGAAGGCAGGACAAGAAGCAACGGGTGGAAACTAATCAAGGAGAGAAGCAACCTAGAATTCAGGAGAAACTTCCTGACAGTGAGAACAATTAACCAGTGGAACAACCTGCCTCCAGAAGCAGTAAATGCTCCAACACTGGAAGTTTTTAAGAAGAGACTGGACAGTCATTTGTCCGAAATGGTGTAGGGTTTCCTGCCTGAGCAGGGGGTTGGACTAGATGATCTCCAAGGTCCCTTCCAACTTTACTACTACTATTATTAGGAAGACTCAATATATGCTGTAGATCTCCTTCATGCATGATGATTGGAGACATATAAGGATAAAAATTGGCAAAATTAATAATTTAATTATGAGGAACACACTCCGCTGTTTGAGAGTGAAATCATGTGAACGTGAAGCAAAATGGAGGAAACATGAATGGAATAAACTGCCATTATTATAGCTAAGGAGGAGGAGACATATTAAAAATGCTCTTAGCCCACAAAGTTTTCATGTGATTATTGATCATCATGACAGATAGTGTGCTCAGGGACAATATATATTATCCCATTGATTGGGATTGTCTTTTGGAATACCATAACTATAAGACAGAGTCAACAGGAGAAATGGCCAGAGAGTTCTGGAAATGGAAACTAAAATAGCCAGCATCTGAGGGCACTGGATTTCCTACTTCTTTTAAATAATGTTTCCCCATGATCCAGGTTGTCCTCTGATATTCATTAACCAAATCCCTAGGATGAATCTCAGGCTTCTGCCAGGAGATCTTGTTAGAGAAAAAAAGCCCTCTTGTCTCTCTAGAATTTCTGATCCTCTAGGATTCAAGTGATTTTATAGACTCATTCACAATATTTGATGTTGGCTGATCCAAAATGTCTACATGTAAGAAATATCTTTTTCAAGAGAAAGGGATACATGAAGGCTCACTTACGACAAGCTGATGTTCAAGATAAGAAATATCTTTTTCAAGAGAAAGGGATACATGAAGGCTCCCTTATGACAAGCTGATGTTCAAGATCTTAAATTTTTAGTGCACTTCATTTTTTTTCACAAGAAGAAAGAAAGCCTTTCTTTCTAAAAATATCAGAAAACAATTCTAAAGTAAGGTCAATGGATTCCTTTGGTTCATGTTTGGTGGTTTGGTTCTTCCTGTTGTACAACTTCATGAAAGGTTTTATGGATCCAACATACTAATAGTATTGTACTGTTGTGTAGTCATGTAGATTTCAAAGATAGCAGGGCTAGTTCATTATTAAGAAATGTTATGAAGAATTATTTAATTCTTCATTTTCTTGTTTTCCTAAGGTTTTGATCATGAAGAAAGAGAACTGGACCTGTTTGACTGAAATTGTCCTATTAGGCTTCTCAGATTTTCAGTCTATGCGAGAGCTTCTCTTTTGCCTGGTTCTAATATTCTACCTCATGGCTTTGATGGGCAACAGCATGATTTTGATCCTCACCATTTTCAATCGTTCCCTTCACACCCCAATGTACTTCTTCCTCTGGAACTTGTCCTTTGTGGAAATTGGCTACACCTCCTCCATCAGCCCAAAGACCCTAGTAAATTTGTTATCAGACAACCAGAATATATCCTTTTGGGGTTGTGAATGTCAAATGTGTTTCTTCATTCTCTTTGGTATTACTGAGTGTTGTCTTCTTTGTTTTATGGCATATGACCGCTACATTGCCATTTGCAAACCCTTGCAATACCCATTTATCATGAACCTCAGGGAATGTGCTAAGCTTGCTGCTGCATCATGGGCCATTGGAGTTTCTGTGGGTCTGGGGCAATCTATTTCAATCTTCACCCTTCCCTTCTGTGGGTCAAATAGAATCAGCCATTTCTTCTGTGATCTTATGCCTGTTCTGAGACTGGCTTCCACCAATACCTACAAAAATGAGGTGGCCATTGTCACAATAACAGTTCTAATTATACTGGTACCTCTTTTGCTCATCCTTCTTTCCTACATCCTCATCATTTCCACTATTCTCACAATGCCACTGGCCAAAAACAGACGCAAAGCATTTTCCACTTGTTCCTCACATCTCACTGTGGTCTGCATTTTCTACGGAACCTGCATTGTTACCTACATTCATCCCAACTCAGAATATTCCATGGACAGTAGCAGATTCCTTGCTCTGCTCTACACAGTGGTGACCCCAAGTTTAAATCCCATCATTTACAGCTTGAGGAATAAAGAAATAAAAGCTGCTTTCATGAAATCTGTAGCAAGAAAAGAGATGTTCTTTATGGGATAATACTAGTATATCCATAGACTTGATGCCTTTAACACATTGCGGTGGTTGTGCACAATGAAGTCCAGGGAATACCAGTGGAAGATTGCACCCTTTACAGCAGAATGACCCAGATAGATTTATTTAAAACAAGGAGAGCCCTGAAAGGTAACCTAAGTTTATCATTGTGGTAGAATTCAAATAAATGTTGATTGCCCATTTATTTAAAAGGAAAAAAAGTCTGCCAGACTGCCCAGAAAGTTTAAAGAAAAAAGGGGGGGATGGAGAGATAAAAATCCTTTCAAGATATAAATAGCAATTGGGGTGTGACTATGAAACAATGGGGAAGACTACCAAGACAAGTTTTTTTTTTTAATAGAAGGCAATATTCCATGAACACATACTGTATATAGTGAGTTACAATCTTTTGTTTTCCCAGAGCTCTTTTCATCTTGGGCTATCTTGTCCTTCTCCAAGTTTACTATCATTCTTTGGCTTTGCAAAGATTTATTCCTGAGCTGACAGTTACTCTGGAAAAGTGTTTTTGTAGATGAGATGATTGCATAATTTGAAATTACACAGCTGTGCCAGTGCTTTATTTTTGCTTGGAAGATATATTGGCTGAGCAGCTTCCAACCTAAGCTGCAGAAATACTAGCATGGGAAACTTACTACTTTCATGGAAAGGGAGATATAGGGACATCAGACAGTATTATTTGTTCAAGTACTGTGAGGACCCAGATTGTTGGGGGCAATAGGCTGACTCTGTAAACTGCTTAGAGAGGGCTGTAAATCAGTGTGAAGCCATATATAAGTGTAAGTGCTATTGCTATTGCAACATATACAACTGAGCAATGAATTCACAAATGTACCACATAGAAACTTTAAACTTTGATTTTTTTGTAAATATTTCCTGAGATATCAGTCTTATTAGAATTGCAACAATAATAAACTATGTTCTTTCTTATTATCCATTTATGCATTGTTACAAAATTAGTGTTTTATTATCCTGTACTGAAATATTTCTTTTTCTCATTCTTCATTGACCAGCCTATTGAACCCCTGATTTAACATCTTCAGTTAGAGTTAGTTACAACTCAGGTGACCTAACAACTACAGTATGCAAGGAGGTAACTAGTTAGATGTCCCCTTCTGCCACTGGATGCAGAAATCCAGACCTTCCTCTGGATATTCTCCAAATGTCATTCCAGAACAGAACTGCAGCCATAGTAGCATTTCAGTAAAAGGTTTCACAATGTATATGAGAACAGTAACACTTTTAACATAAAAATAATCCTTTATTAAAATCTAATATCGAGGCATGTTCATTCGAGAGAAATAGTCCTTATGGTGCTCTGAATACAAGCTGTTTCTGTTTCCATTCCATTAAAAGTTGACTAATGGTAATGGGAAGCAATATTGCCAGATTTTTCTTTTTGTTTTAAGAATTTTGGGGTCATTTGGTTCTCTGGACGGAGAACAGATAATTCCTGAAATTTTGCCATGGCGGAAAGAGATAGAAAAGAATATTCAGCCCCTGGTCATTGAAAAGAAACAATGGTTCCCACTTGAGGAGAATGGGATGATAGAAGACTTTTTCCTGAATCAGCTTCGCTGAAGATGCTCATCCTCCTGATATGATAGAAGAAACCATATTCAAGAGGTCCCAAAGGTGCTTTTTCAAGAGACAATTGGACTTCCTTTATTTTTCCTTGAAGATGTTTCACTTCTCATTCAAGAAGCTTCTTCAGTTCTTCAGTCAGAATTGAAAAAGCTTCTTGAATGAGAGATGAAATGTCTTTGAGGAAAAACAAAGAAAGCCCAATTGTCTCTTGAAAAAGCATCTTTGGGACAACCATGATTTGGATGATTAAGAATCTCTATAGATATCTTTAAGAGGATTGGGCCTTTCTGGGCATAAGAGCCTAGATCAGTGGTTCTCAACCTTTTTAATGCCGTGACCCCCAACCGGTTGGAAGTTGAGGACTACTCAACCGGTCGTAAGTCGAGGACTACTCAACTTGTGCAGCACCGTTTGCAGAATGGGACTTTTGGCGGGCTCAGCAGGGCAGAGACAGCCTGGACAATTCCTATTGGCTTTTAAAAGCCAATAGAATAAAAGGGAGTAGCACAGCTAAGGAAAAAGGGGAAAAAAGTGGTGGACTGTGTTGTTTGGTGACCCCCGTGAAATGGTCGTTCGACCCCAAATGGGGTCCCGACTCACTGGTTGAGAACCACTGGGCTAGATCCATGTAGATCTCCTTCATTTTGATTTTAGGAGTCTGAAACAGGCCAGCTCAGTAGTGTCTTTCCCTCTGGAAGACCTTGTCTCAACTAGTTAGTATGGTCCCCTCCTTTTAATGTTCAGAAGTGCCACTAGATGTTTCTTTTCTCTAAGTCTTCCAAGGCAGAGAGTATCAGGTAAGTGAAGAATACTGGGCATTGGAGACTCATTTTGAACTTAGTGGAAGGTTTGAATGTTTGTTGACGGAATTTAGCTGTTACTCTTTCCATATAGCCCAGGTCATAAATAGACTCCACCAGGTTGGCTGGAACTCTACCATATTGATCCAGACTACAATAACAGAATCTTGAAAGCTTGACTCAGCCTCTTATACCTGAGTGAATGAGGGTGAAGCCAATCAGCTTCTTTCTTAGGATTTCCATGTTCCCTGGGATTAAAGCATCCTTTTGTTTCTGTAACCATGTCTACACCCTTTCTCTGAGTTCATGTCTCTGTCTCTCTATAATAATTTTTTGAGATATATTTTATGATGTCATCTGCTGAGAATCTTGGCTAGGTGGAGCAATCAGTAAATTTCTTTATCAATAAAAACATTAATAAATGCTACTCCCAGTTGGATCTCCTGTGGATCATCCAATTCCTACTAATATATGATGCTATCACAGGAACACAACCATGCACTCTTAAAATTATAAAATCCAGGATGGATTTGCTTGTAATTTCGATTTCTTCATCAGCCCAGTCATACAAAATGCTAGACGAATCACTAGTTAATCCAACAATGTGAATGTTTAACTATGAATAAACTATATCAGTGGTGGCGAACCTATGGCCTGCGTGCTCTGGCACGCAGAGCCCTCTCTCCCCCTGCAGCCCCCCCCTCACCAGCAGCCCCCCGGGAGGAGAGTCGCCCCCCCAGGCATGACCCACATGGAGCAGTGCAGCCAAGGACATGGTAGCTGGGCAGCAGGGATAAGACTTTGCCCTCATGCCCCAGATCAGTGTTTCCCAAACTTGACAATTTTAAGGCATGTGGACTTCAACTCCCAGAATTCCACAGCCAGCAATGCTGGCTGTGGAATTCTGGGAGTTGAAGTCCACATGCCTTAAAATTGTCAAGTTTGGGAAACACTGCCCCAGATGATGCTGCAGGGCACAGGTGGAGGACGTGACCGCCATGGCGCTGCAGGGCTGCCTGGGCGATCTGCAGCGGGCTGTGGAGGCGGAAGGTGGCTCTGCAGGTGGGTGGGGCGGGGGGCAGAGCGGGTGGAGCAGGGGCAGGCAGGGTGGGTTTTAGGCACTTGGTTTCTAAAAGGTTCGCCATCCCTGAACTAAATTATTTGAATTTCAAATTGTGCGAGCATCAGGTGGAATTGGAGAAATGGGAAAGGAACTGAAATGAAATTGAATTTCTTCAGCTCAGGAAAAATGAGAGATATTAAAATTATTTCAAAGTCATGGAAATTGTAAATGAAAATATCCAGTATCCGTGGTTACTGGGTTTCCTAATTCTGCTGTAGGGAATGTAGAGGGAGTCTTCTGGTATTAATTTACCAGATTCCCATAATGAATTCTTGGACTTCTTTCCTGAGACCTTGTTAGAGAAAAAGTCCTCCAGTCTCTCTGGAATTTTGAAACCTCTAGCAGTCTAGAGCAGTGGTTCTCAACCTTTCTAACGCTGCGACCCCATAATACAGTTCCCCATGTTGTGGTGACCCCCAACCACTTATACATCACCGGGTGCCAGGGGCGTGGCCAAAGAAAAGGGGAAAAAATGGCGGACAGCCTTGTTTGGCGACCCCCGTGAAATGGTCGTTCGACCCCAAATGGGGTCCTAACCCACAGGTTGAGAACCACTGGTCTAGAGGCTTCTTCAGTCCTGTTAATGTCAGCTCCTATAAACAGCCTACATTATAAATTTTTTCCTGAAGAAGGAATGCATAAAGACTCATTTTCAAGTTCTTGAATTACCAATGAATATTACAGCATGTGCAATGTTCCTTGAGAAGAAATACCCCATCTCTATAAAAATAATCAGAAAACTATTCATAAAGTAAGATTGATACTTCATAAATAAACAAGGTCAGGTTTGGTGGAATGGTTCCTGTTGGTATGCAATTTCATGAAATAAGTTTTATTTTTGAATGATAGCCTGAGAAATATTAAGAGAATTTTATCATCAGCAATGTAGTTATAAAAAGTATATTATTAATAGTATTTTATAATGGAAATTATTTAGTTTATTTATTGTCATTATGGTTCTTTATAATGATTGTTTAAAAATGGATTTGTTTATGATACTATGATATGAAGGTTTAAAGGGAGTTAAGGGTTAAGTATGAATTTAATTATTGTATAATTTGCTAAATTTAATCAGATTATGTTTAATATATTTGGTTAAATTTAATTAGATTGTTTAATATGTTTGTAATAACCCTGTACTTGGCTCTTGGAAGTGGGGCGGGGGGTAGGGGGGATGGGGATGGGTGGGTTAGTGTGTTTATACTTTATTAATTATCAATAAAACTTTTTAAATAAAAAATAAAAAGTTCTTAATTCAAATCAGTAAAAATTGAGCTCATTCTTACAATGGCCAGAATCTCTGAACTAAGAAAGAATTAAATAAGCAAATCAGATCTGTGCCTTAAACTCAAGAGGGTCATATTTAAATTCTGAGCACTGAAAATTCTGACAAATCGATTCTAAAAAAAGAGAGAATTATTGTGTGATTTATTAAAATGGTATAATTGCAAAAAATATGTAGGACACTAAATTAAATGAGCAGTCTCCAGTTTTCAAGAACTTGATCCAATTAACTAATTTTGATAAATGTGAAGGATGCAGAAAATAAATATGTAGTGTGAAAAGGCTATTAATTGTTATTGCTCAGTTAGGTGCCATCAAGTCAGTGTTGACGCTACATTGTCTGTGTGATGATCTGTCCCTTGATACTTTCACAAAGATGCACCTATTGCTACTTTAACTTTGTCCATGTAACTGGCTGATTGTCTTCCTCTCTTCTTTTTTTCTCCCATCTTTTCTAACAATAGAGCTTTTTCCAGAAACCTCGATCTTTGCATATTAAAGTAAAATAACTTGAGTCTGATTTGTGTTTTTGGTGAAAACTCTGAATTGACTTGTTTAATATTCACTTATTTATTTTTTTGAGGTGTCCAGGATATTATCAGGTGTGTTCTTTAAAACCAGTATTCACAGACTTCAATTACTCTAATTCTTATTCCTCAAAGTTGAAAATATTAAGCAACAAATGTAATTTTTACTTCACATTCATTTTGTGTTCTCAGGCTTCAATCGGGATGATACTATGAAGAAAGACAACCACTCTGTTTGACCAATATTGTCCTGTTGGGCTTCTCAGATTTCCAGACAATACAAGAACTTTTATTTTGCCTGGTTCTAACATTTTACTTCATAGCCTTGATGGGCAACAGCCTGGTTTTGATCCTCACTATCACCAGTTCTACACTTCACACCCCAATGTACTTCTTCCTGTGGAACTTGTCCTTTGTGGAAATTGGCTACACCTCCTCCATCAGCCCAAAGATGCCAGTGAATATATTATCAGACAACCAAAACGTATAATTTTGGGGATGTGGAATTCAATTGTGCTTCTTCCTTCTCTTTGGTACCACTGAGTGATGTCTTCTTTGTGTCATGGCATATGACCGCCACGTTGCCATTTGGAAACTCTTGCAATACCCATATATCATGAACCTCAGGGAATGCACTAAGCTTGCTGCGGTTTCATGGACCATTGGTGTTTCTGTGGGTCTGGGGCAATCTATTTCAATCTTCACCCTTCCCTTCTGTGGGTCAAATAGAATCTGCCATTTCTTTTGTGACCTCATGCCTGTTCTGAGACTGGCTTCCACTAATACTTACAAAAATGAGTTGGCCATTGTCATAGTAACAGTTCTAGTTATTCTGGCACCTCTTTTGCTCGTCCTTTTTTCCTACATTCTCATCATTTCCACAATTTTCACAATGCCACTGGCCAAGAACAGGCGCAAAGCATTTCCCACCTATTCCTCACATCTCACTGTGCTCTGCATTTTCTTTGGGACTGGCATTTTTACCTACATTCGTCCCAATTCAGAATATTCCATGGACAGTAGCAGATTCCTTGCCCTGCTCTACACAGTGATGACCCCAAGTTTAAATCCCATCATTTACAGCTTGAGGAATAAAGAAATAAAAACTGCTCTCATGAAATCTATAGAAAGGAAACATATGTTCTTTACTGAATAAATGTATTATATCCACAGATTTGTTCTCTTCAACATACCTATGCTATGAACCTACCTATGAGGTATAATGGATATATTAGTGGCAGATTTTACCTTTTACAGCAGAATGATGCAGATAGATTTATTTAAAACAAGGAGAGAGCCCTGAAAGTTAAGCTTAGTTCTTTATTCTGATTCTTAACCTTTATTCAGATAAAGGTTAGCTGTCCATTTATTGAAAAGGAAAGCTGCTAGCCTGCTCAGAAAAATCTAAAGAAAAGGGTGGAAAAAGGGAGGAGATAAAAGATGCTTTCAAGAAGTCAGTACAATCAAGGTGTGAGAATGAAACAATGTGGAGTCAGTTGGGAATTTGAAAAACAAGAAGGTAATATTCTATGAACACAATTTCTGCATAGGGAGTTACAATCTTTTGCTTTCCTAGACCTCTGCACACCTTGTGCTATCTTCTTCTCCTTCAAGTTTAGCAACATTCCTTGGTCTTTGCAAAGTTTTATACCAGAATAACAGAGTTTGAAGGGACTTTGAAGGTCTTCTAGTCCAATCCCCAGCTCACACAGAAGACCTCATACCATTTCAAAAAAGTGGTTGTCCAATCTCTTCTTAAAAACCTTCAGTGGTGGAGCACCCAGTGCCTGAGCTGATAGAAATTTACTCTGGAGAGGTGTAAAAGTATCTCTTTTGTAGAAAGGATAGTTGTGTAATTTGAAACCATAAAATTGTGCCAGTGCTTTTTTTTTGCTGGGAAGATGTATTTGGCTTAGTAGCTTCTAATTTGAGGTGTAGAAATAGGGCATGTGAGATTTACTACTTTCACGGAAAAGGAAATAAAGGAATATCAGACAGTATTATTTATTCAAGTATATGTACAACTGAGCACTGAATTCAGAGACGGTACCACATAGGAACTTTAGACTAATTTTGATTTTTTAAAAAAATATTCCTGCATATACCTGTTTTATTAGAACTGCAACAACAATAAATTAACTCTGTTCTTTCTTATTAAAAGTCCTTGTATCCATTTATCATTTATATGAGATCAATGTTTTGTTATCCAGTATTGAAATATTTTTTATTCTGATTCTGCACTGACAAGCCTATTGATTTAACATCTGCAGATGGAGTAGTTATAACTTGAATTACATAACAACTATGCAAGGAAGTAGCTATTTAGATCTCCCCTTCTGCCACTGGATGCAGAAATCCAGAATTTCCTCTGGATATTCTCCAAATATTATTCCAGTTTCAACAAGAGGGTTGACAAAGTATATGAAAAAGGTAAAACTAACATAAAAGCAGTCCCTTATCAAAATGCGGGCTGGGAATCTGGGCTAGATGGAGCAATCGATAAATTTCAGTATCAATAAAATCATTAATAAATGATACTCTCATCTAGATTCCGTGTGAACTATCCAATTTCTACTAAGTTGATAAAACTACTATTACAGGAATAGCAATATGCACTTTTAAAACTATAAAAGCCAGGACTGTTTTGTTTATAATTCCAATTTTTACATCTGCCCAATCATATGAAATACTAGGTGAATCACCAAAGTTGATCCAACAATGTAAATATTTAATTATGAACAAATTATACTTTTTGAGATCCACATCATATGAGCATCAGGTGGTATGGAAGAAATGGGAAAAGAATTGAAATAAAATTGAACTTTCTGGAGCTCAAGGAAGAGGAGAGATATTAAAATCAGCCCAAAGATTTTCCATGCAGTTGTTGATTCCATGACAAGTGTTTAGGCACAATATCTATAATGCCATTGTAGTCATCTTTTGAACTAAATTCCCTATATGAGTGAGTTAGCTTGGCAAATGGTTAGGGAGTCATGGAAATTGTAAATGAAAATATCTAGTATCTGGAGCCACTGGGTTTCCCAACTCAGCTGTAGGGAATGCTTTCCCCTAGATCCAGGTTGTCTTCTGGTATTAATTTATCCAATTCCCAGAATGAATCCTTGGACCTTTCCTGAGACTTTGTTAGAGAAAAAGCCATCTAGTCTCTCTGGAATTTTGGAACCTCTAGGAGTCCAGGGACTTCTCCAGACTTGTTAATTCAGTTCCTCTAAACAGCCTCCAGTATATCATTTTTTTTTCCTGAGGAAGGAATGTATAAAGACTCATTTAAGGCAGGAGAATTTTCAAGACCTTGAATTACCAATGAATATTACAGCAAGAAGAAATATTCCAGCTCTATAAAAACCACCCGAAAAACATTCACCAAGTAAGATTGATATCTCATAATTTACCAAGGTCAGATTTAGTGGGATGGTTCCTGCAGATATGCAACTTCATGAAAAGGAGTTTTATTTTTGAGTGATAGTCTGAGGAGTACTAAGAGAATTTTATTGTCAGCAATATAGTTATAACAAGTTTTTAATTCAAGGAAATACAATAGAAATTGAGTTCATGCTTATCATGGCCAGAATCTCTGAAATAATAAAGAATTAAATAAACAAAGATGTGTCATCTTGAAATCAAGTCTGTGCCCTAAACTCAAGAGGCCCATATTTAAATTCTGAGCACTGAAAATTCTGACAAATCAGTTTTAAAAAACGTGAGAATGATTGTGTGTTTTATTAAAATGGTATAATTGCAAAAAATATGTAGGACACTAAATTAAAATTTTCCAATTTTCAAGAACTTGATCCAATTTACTACTTTTGAGTAAATGTGACGGATGTAGGATATAAGTATGTATTATGAAAAGGCTATTAATTGTTAATAGCTGCTAAAATTGATTGATCAAATAGGTGCCATCAAGTCAGTGTTGACTCTAAATTGTCTGCATGATGATCTGTCTCTAATCTGGTCCTTCAGGTTTTCTAAGGATGCATCTATTGCCACTGCAACTTAGTCTGTATAATTTGTTGATTGTTTTCCTCTTCTCTTTCCTTCCACCTTTCCCAGCAAAGTTTTTCCAGAAACCTAGATTTTTGCATAATATGTCCAAAGTAAAATAATTTGAGTCTGATGATTTGTGTCTTAAGTGATAACGCTGGCTTGACTTGTTTATTAGGTCCACTAGTTTATTTTCTTAGCAGTCCATAATAGCCTCAGGCATATTCTCCAAAAACCAATGTTCAGGGACTTTAATACTCTTTCTATTCTTATTCTTCAAAGCTGAAATTGCTAAGAGATGAATGTAGTTTTTAATGTTACATTCTTCTTGTTTTCTTAGACCTCAACCTGGACAATACTATGAAGAAAGACAACCATTCCTGTTTGACTCAGATGATCCTAATAGGTTTCTCAGATTTCCAGACAATACAAGAGCTTTTATTTTGCCTGGTTCTAATATTCTATTTCATAGCCTTGATGGGCAACAGTCTTGTTTTGATCCTCACCATTTTCAGTCCCACACTCCACAGCCCAATGTATTTCTTCCTCTGGAACTTGTCCTTTTTGGAAATTGGCTACACATCTTCCATCAGCCCAAAGATGCTAGTGAACTTATTATCTGAGAATCAGACTATATCCTTTTGGGGCTGTGGATGTCAAATGTGCTTCTTCGTTCTTTTTAGTGTCACTGAATGTTGTCTTCTTTGTGTCATGGCCTATGATCGCTATGTTGCCATTTGCAAACCTTTGCAATACCCATATATCGTGAACTACAGAGAATGTGTTAAATTTGTCGCTGCATCATGGGCCTTTGGGATTTTGATGGGTTTGGGGCAATCTGTTTCAATATTCACCCTTCCTTTCTGTGGGTTGAATAGAATCAGCCATTTCTTCTGTGATATTATGCCTGTTTTAAGACTGACTTCCACCAACACTTACAAAAATGAAGTGGCCAATGCCATACTAACCATGGTGTTTGCCCTGGTACCCCTTCTGCTTATCCTTTTTTCCTACATTCTCATCATCTCTACTATTCTCATGATTCCAGTGGCCAAGAATAGGCAGAAAGCATTTTCCACTTGTTCCTCACATCTCACTGTTGTTCTCCTGTACTATGGAACAATTACTGCTGCCTACATTCATCCCAACTCAGCAACTCCTCAGGACAATAACAGGTTTCTTGCCCTACTCTACACAGTAGTGACCCCCAGCTTGAATCCCATCATTTATAGCTTGAGGAACAAAGAATTAAAAACTGCTTTCAAGAAATTAGTAGCAAAGTTATGGGGCTTCCTTAGGTAAGAATCCAGTTATATCAGTTGGTTTCATCTCTTCATACGGTGGCTGTTCTTGTGCACATATTTATGGGTAGAAGCAACTCTAGAAAATAACAGTAGTCAATATCAACTTTAGAAGAACACAGAGATGGGGCTAGATTTGTTCAAAAAAGGGGAAAGCCATGATAAGAAACCTAACTTTATTATTTTGGTTGGCAAGTTCTTTACAAGGAAGGCTGCCACTCTCATAGCAAGGTCAGGTTCAGATGAGGAGATGGACAATTAGCATCCAGTTCCAGAGTTGCTGCCTGAGCAACTACAGACAGAGGAGATGGGGCCATTCAGTAACCAGCAGGCACAGCTGCTGCTAGTCTCTGAAAATGTGGGTTCATCACTTCCCAAAGCAAGGACTCACAGAGCAGAGCAAAAGCATTTTTAAGGCTCCATGAAAGAAAGGAACCTTCCCCTTCCAAAGGAGCAACGTTGGGGTTGCTTCCATTTAAGAACAGCAAGGTCCAGACTCTCTGTTGGCAACAACTGTTTGTTTACCCAGACTCTATACTGTATGCCTTGTCTCCCAACTTGAAACCTCAGGACTTTGATTCTAGACCAGGATTGGCTGATGAACCTTCTGCATTTGGATCCTTGGACTTTGTTTGACCAGTCTTGTGCCTCCTATTTTGGATTAGAACCCACCTAAGTTAAACTTACTTGACTTTTGGTGACTTGTCTCTCTGATCTGAGCATGCATGTTGTTGAACTCATGTTTTCTTTGCCACTTGCTTGTTTACTTCACAAAGTTAACATCCCTGGTGTTAAGACTAGGACACATCCTCACCAACAACCCAGGAATTAACACCAGACAATCAAGTAGAAAACAATGCCTTGATCAAGGAACTATTATGGAGAAAAGCATATCTCCTCCAACACTGGCAGGGGAAGCTACTGTGTATAAATAGGGAATAAACCTTCCATTCACTAGCTTTTATTATGTTACCTAGTTGGGTAATAAAACATCTGCAACCAATACCCAAGGCCAGGATTCCAAGCTATCTATATTCTCTTCTATTGAAACTGGTGAACAGTTAGGCCTTTTTCACTTTCTTGTTCCAAAGGATGTAGATCAAATAATTAAACATGGGAATAATAATTCCACACAACATACTCCTCAGCTTGTTATTTACTGGATGATAGCTGGTATAAGACATTATGCATTCCTAAATGATCTAGGAAATCAAGGTAATTAGAAAAACTGCCACACTAAATATACCTATTCTTACAAGATAAAACACCCCCCCCTCCCATGGGACTCTACCAACATATTTCCCTAAGGAGTGAGGGAAAACCCAGGAATTTAGGAAGGCCAATGGTGTCATTGACCATCAAAGTGAGGCTGTTCCATAGGGCACACTCATTGTGCAGAAGATATGCCTCCTTGATCCCACAAAGTATCATTGCTACACAGAAGGGACTCATAGTATGTCTGTCCTGCTAGATCTGGTGGGACCAGCACAAACTACTGGAGATATTTGGTCTTGTAAGTAACCTATCTCTGTGCCATTCAGGGATTAAAAGGTGATAATCAGCATTTGAATTGCACCTGAAGCCTTCTGAGCCAGACCGGTTCACACACTAATGGTTTTATGTGGATGTCCCTTAATGTACCAGAAAATTGCACAAAGTGAATATTCTGAACTGATTGCAGCTTCTGAAGGTTTTCTGAAGGAAAGCCACATGTAGAATCCATTACAGTAGTCCAGGGGTCTTCAAACTTGGCCCTTTTATGACTTGTGGACTTCAACTCCCAGAATTCCTCAACCAGGCATGCTGGCTGAGGAATTCTGGGAGTTGAAGTCCACAAGTCATAAAAGGGCCATGTTTGAAGACCCCTGAAGTAGTCCATTCAAGAAGTGACTAAGGCATGAGTACTAATGAGCAATGGCTCCTAATTCAGCAATGGCCAGAAGTGGTACACAAGATGGATTTATACACAAGTTGTCCTGGCCATGGCTGCTACTTGCCATCTCTTCTTTAGGCAGAATCCCTGAATCCTATAGGGCACAGTCATGTCATCTCTCTGAAAATACTCATCTTGTAGGACTAACTGATTTTAAAAGCAAACAGCAGGGTGTCAACATACAGCAAAGGATCTTGATCAATAAGTTTCTTTGAGATAAGATTGAATTAAGTCTCTTCTACAACACTCTCTTCTGCAACATTCTATATCCAAAGAATGCTGAAAAATCTCCATTGTTTTTAATTTGGTCAACAGTCATCATTTATTTGAACATTATTGTAAACAATAAAAATAAGTAACCACCGTGTGCCACACATTATGCATGCTTGGTTAGTCAGATCTTTCCCCTATAGTCTTTTGTCTAAAAGTCATTTTTAAAATGATTTCTTTGGTTAGGAAATGGGAGTTTTATTTGCAGAGCTTTATTGCTGTTTACTTCCATGTTGTTCTTTGAAGGAAGGGTAGAATGGATAATCTCTGAAATTCTGCTGTAGCTGGTAGATGGGAAAGAATATTCATCCCTTAATTATTGCAAAGAAGCAATGGGCCCACTTGCAATGAATGGGATCCCAGCAGACATTTCCTAAATCAGCTTTCCTGAATGTATTGTCCTCGAGATGTGTTAGAAAAAAACATCTTCAAGTGAATTCTCCCTATTGGTGCACACAAGTCAAGAAGCTACGCCAGAGGTCTTCTTCATCACAATGGCATAGGAGTACAAACACAGTCCATTTCATTAGCATCCCTTTCCCTCTGGAAGACTTTGTGTAACCCAGTCAGAATGATTATCTCCTTGTTAGCATCCAGAAAGATCCTAAAAAGTGACTTTTGCATAATGCTTTCAGAGCAAAGACGATCAAGGGACTGAGGCTGCTGTTTATTGATGTCTCATTTTGTGCTTGCAGGACCTTTTTTATGTTTAGGATTTAACTGATTAACTATGGAGAGTGTTCTTATGGATATTTATTACAAGTATTACCTTGATTTATAGTGTGAGCGCCTGGAATCTTGGTTAGATGAACAGTCTTTAAAATTTAGATGATTTCATATTATCAATAAATGCTTTTTTTTTTTGCCAAGATCCTCTTTCAACTACCCACCTTCTGCTATTCTAAAAAGAGCTGTTCATGCACTTTCAAGGTTACAAAAGCCATGACCGATTGAGAGAGCTTCAAGATCTGTGATAGGGCAATTCTGGGTGACTCACCAGGGTTAAAATCAACACTATGAATAGTTGAAGTAGGAAGAACAAACCACACATTTTGAGATTCCCATTGTGAAGAAATATGAATGGAATTGAAAATATATGGTTTTTCTGTAGGAAACAGTAGGAAATAATGCTCTAACCGAAGATTTTCTATGTGATTATTGATCCCCATGGTGGGACAATATAAATTATACCACTAGTATTTTTTGTAATTTTTTTAAATTACAATTTCTGTATGACCAGCCACATGGCAAATGATCAGGTAAACAAGGTAACTGTAAACCAAAATATCCAGCTGAATGTCTATGGAGATTCTCAGTCATCCAGGTCATAGTTATCCTAAGGATGTTTTTTTATGAGGCAACTGGACTTTCTTATTTTCCTTTGAAGATGTTTCGCTTCTCATTCAAGAAGCTTCTTCAGCTCTGACTAGATGTGAGGAATGGAATTTCCATTCCTCACCATCCAGTCAGAACTGAAGAAGCTTATTGGATGAGAAGCGAAACATCTTCAAATAAGAAAGTCCAGTTGCCTCATGAAAAGTATCGTTAGGACAAAATATCCAGCATTTGAGGCCACAGGGTTTCTTTACTCTGCTGTAAGTAAGATGTTCCCCAAGATCCATGTTGTCCTCTGGTAATTCATTTACCAAATCCCCAGGAAGACTCTTTGTACTTCTGTTCTGAAACCTTGTTAGAGGAAAAAGTTTCTATGGGATTTTGGATCTTCTAGAAATCTGCATAAATATCTCTCTTCTGTTCAATCCTGTCTGATTCTTTGAGTCTGCCTGGACAAGTCTGTGCTGTTTTCTTGGCAAGGTTTTTCAGAAGCAGTTTGCCATAAGATTAATACCTCATATTTTATCAAAGATTGTGTTTGGTGGTTTGATTCCTTACATGGAGCATGCTCAAGATAAGAAAATTTGCTTTTAAATGAATGAAATACTACAAGAGTTTTATTCTCAACTGTTTGCTCATGCATTGTCATTTAATACTTTTGAACCTGGGAAAGATGATGACTGATATTTCTGCTCATTTTGATGCTCAGTCTAGATAGAAAAAAGCAGTCTTGGGGGACTTCCGGTGGATCTGCGCGCGCGATGGCGGCTACTTTGTAGCCGTCCTCCTGGGTAAGTGTTTGAATCGCTATGAACAGCGGCCATCAGCTGTTCAGCGGTTCAAAATCCCCCTCCCGGGCAAAGGGGGGGGGGGGAAGAGGGTTGTCTGAATAGTGGTAGAGCCACTCTCATGCACCCCCAAGGCTTTTTTTGGGGGGGGGTGAGAGGAGCGCTCCCACGGAGTTCAGACTGTCTTTTGTTCCCTAGGGACAAAATAAGCCGCTGCAACCACCTCCATGATTAAAGTGATCTGGTGAGGTTTTTTAGAAACGGACAGAGCTGAGTAGAGGATATAGCTTTTGCTTTCTTTGATTTTATTTGGATTTTTAGTTTAAAGATTTATTTTTACTTTTATATTCCTTCTTTTTATTTTTTTCCTTTTGTTGAAAGGGAAAGTAAAATAGCGATCGGCAAGCCTTTCGGTTTTTTTTTTTCCTTTGGGAAGGTAGAATGGCGATCGGCAGGCTTTTTGGTGTTTTCCTTTATCCTTTTCCCTTTTTTTTAATGATTGGAACGGAATGTAGATTTGATTTTGATGTTGGGTCTGGATTTTAGAAGCATTATTATTTTTGTTTAACTTCTTTGTTTTGCTTTTTGTATTTTTTTAAAAAAATTGAGTGGATTTTTTTTTTATTTTTCTATTTCATTATTTTTTTCTTCTTTCCCCTTTTGTTTTTTAACTCCTTTCTTTTTATTATATGATCTCTTTTTGAAGGATTTTTTGATTTTTTGGAGTTAATCTTTCTTTTTCTTTTGCTTAATTTTTGTAACTTTTAAGAAGGAGTAAAGATTTTTTTAAGAAAACCCCAAAGTGTTTAGTATTTTTTTGTTATAATGATTTCCTTTTGAAGGATTTTTTGAATTTTTTTTTGGATTTAATCTCTCTTTTTCTTTTGCTTAATTTTTGTAATTTTCAAGAAGGAGGAAAGATTTTTTTTAAGATGGCTCCAAAGTGTCCAGGGATTCCTACAGCTCCTAAAGTGGCTTCTTCTTTGGTGTTATCATCAGTGCAACAATCTAAATCAATAGTTTCACCCTCTTCCTTGGTCCAGCCAATAATTGTGAAGGATTTGCAAGATATGGTGGGAAATGTTATATCTCAAATTAGGGCAGAAATGAAAGAGATTTCAGAGGAAAATAATAAGATTTTGAGGCAAGAGATAGTTTTGGCTCTAAAAGGAGTTGCCTCTGTTCTTGAAAAGCTGAACTCCCGTGTGGAAGAGGTAGGAGAAAAAGTGGAATTGATGGAGGGAAAATTTGAAAGCATGGAAAAAGAAATGGAAAATGAGATTCTTATGCTTCAATATGGACAAATGGAATATGCCCTAAGAATCAGAGGCTTGGGAGAGTCTCTGCAAGGAGATCTAAGAGAGATGGTTGCAAAGGACTTTGCTGTGATTTTGAATAAAGAAAAAGAGGAAATACTTAGTGAAATTGAAAATTATTTAGAGTTAATTCTGTGGTGGCAGTGCAAAAGAATTTGCCAAGAGATGTGGTAATTTACTTTGGGAAAAGATCCCTGCGCAACGAAATTATACAAGCTTTTTATAAGAAGAGGTTTCAAATTGCTTCACAAGATGTTATAATTCTAAAGGAGATCCCATCTAAAATTTTAAGAAGAAGAAAGGAGTTTGCTTTTTTAGCAGATGAACTTAAAAAGAGACGAATTTCGTTCAGATGGGATGTTCCGATTGGAATGGTGGTGAATTACCTGGGGATATGTTATAGACTTAATACTGTTTCTCAAGCAAAAGATTTTTATACTTCGGTCCTGGGGGTATGTTCATCGCCATCTATTAAGTTTAAAGCTTTGGAAGAAAAGAAGGTAGAATTGCAGTCTGAAGAGCCTATACTTATGAAAATTGGGAAACCTCAGTTTGAGGGGCCTCAACAAGTTGAGATGGAGGAGCAGAAGATAACCTGTGCAACATATAACTGTAAAGAAAAGCAGCAACAGAAGAAGGTTAAGGAAGCCTCACAACTATTGGTTTCTGAATCTGCGGGAGAAGTAGGACTTATAAATTTCTTGGAGCAACCTTCAAGGGTAGAATTGTTGTCTGAAGAGCCTATATTAATGAAAAATGGGAAATCTCAGTTTGAGGGGCTTCAACAAGTCGAGAGGAAGGAGCAGAGGACAACTCGTGCAACATATAATTGTAAAGAAAAAGACCAACAGAAGAAGGAGTTTAAGGAACCCTCACAACTATTGGCTTCTGAGTCGGCGGGAGAAGCAGGATTTATAAACTTTTTGGAGCTACCTTTAAGGGCAGATTTCAAAGCACTTCTTTTGAGATTTATGGATAAGAGAGACTGATAAGGATGGGGATCGAATGAAAATTTTATATGGACAACAGAGACTGATAAGGACTGTGTTTCTTGTGGACGGAATTTGTTATTGGTAAAGATTTAAATGTGTATAAGGGAACTTTAATGGTTTATGGATAAGAGAGACTGATAAGGAATGTGTTCATTGTGGATCGAATTTGTTATTGGTAAAGATTTAAATGTGTACAAGGGAATTCTAATGTTTTAAGTTTTAAGTAATGTTCAAATTTGTGTGTAAAGATTTAAATGTGTATAAGGGAACTTTAATGGTTTATGGATAAGAGAGACTGATAAGGAATGTGTTCATTGTGGATCGAATTTTTTATTGGTAAAGATTTAAATGTGTACAAGGGAATTCTAATGTTTTAAGTTTTAAGTAATGTTCAAATTTGTGTTTTGGAGGGAGTTTATAAAGAATGATGGATAATAACATAAGTATGATATGAAAAGGTTTAGAGTATATTATAATGTGTTTAATGATTGGGTTTTTTAATTATTATTGTTATTATTATTTTTAAGAGAAAATAACTTGTTTAATTAAATGTATCTAGAATTGTTTAGGATTTATACGTCTTTTAAGTTTTTTTTTTGATAGGAGAGAAGATTATGGAGATTGAATGAAAATCTTAGATAAGAAGTTTAAGTTTAAGTATTTAGTTTAAGTATTCAAAGAGTATTTAGTTTTAATAGTATAATGAAGGTTTATATGTTTATTTTTCTGTTCTAGGATAAAGAAAGAGGGAGAGATTGGATTTTATATTGTAGGTACAGATGTTCAAAGAAAGTAATGTTTAAATTTGTGTTCTGGAGGGAGTTTATATAGAATGATGGATAATAATATAAGTATGATATTAGAAAATGTCTAGAGTATATTATAATGTGTTTAATGATTGCAATTATTATTTTTTAGAGAAGATAACCTATTTAATTTAATGTATTTAGATTTCTTTAGGATTTATATGTGTTTTAAGTTTTTTTTTCTTTTTTTGAAAAATTTTAACTAAGCCTGTACTCAACTCTGGGAAGGTTGGGGGAGGGTTTGGGAGGTTTGGGGAGGTGGGGGAGGGTATGGGAGGGTGGGGGAGTTCGGGGAGGGGATTTGTTTTGTAAAATTTAAAAAACTTTCAATAGATAGAAAAAAGCAATCTTTATCTAACAGGAATGGCTGATCACTGATGATAACATGTACCCAGTGATCACGTGGATACAAATCGCATTGAATGGAAAATGAAGCTGATGTTGATCTAAGTCAGTTTTCTCCAATACTCCATCTACTCCAGGATTCAGCATTTCCAGCCAGAATCTCTATAAACCATCTAAAATTTGGACTGAAACCAACCAACAAACAAAAGAAAATGTAATAAGGTGGCACCTTCAATTAAATAACTAAAATAAGATCAACTGTAAAGTCTTAAGATTGACAATTTTGATAAATTACTTCTGAGAAAGGATCCTAGAATGATCCAATCTAGGTCGGTCCAACATCCTAGAATTGTTTAGATGACTCATTAGGATGAAATCATTGTAGCCAAAATAGACATGATGCTAAATTAAAATTGTAGTTTTCCTTTTATATAGGACATCATCTGAATTATTATTTCCGAGGAAACAAAGTAAAGGAAGGAAGGAAACTGAAGGAAGCAATGTATAGGTCTCTAATGTGAGAAACACATTCGATTGTTAGTGATTGTAAAGAATAATTGTTGAATTCACTATTTAATGCTCCTCTTGTTTTTAGCCTTTGATCTGGATGATAGCATGAAAAAAGGCAGCCAGTCCTGTCTCACCGAGATTATCCTTCTAGGCTTCTCAGATTTCCAGTCTATGCGAGAACTTCTTTTCTACCTGGCCCTAATATTCTATTTTATGGCCTTGGTGGGCAACAGTTTGATCTTGCTCCTCATCTTTCTCAGTCCTACCCTTCACACGCCAATGTATTTCTTCCTCTGGAACTTGTCCTTTTTGGAAATTGGCTACACTTCCTCCATCAGCCCAAAGATGCTAGCGAACTTATTATCAGAGAAGCAAAGTATATCCTTTTGGGGCTGTGGCTATCAAATGTGTTTTTTCCTTCTCTTCGGTGTCACTGAGTGTTGTCTTTTTTGTGTCATGGCATATGACCGCTATGTTGCCATTTGCAAACCCTTGCAGTACCCATATATCATGAACTACAGGGAATGTGCTAAGCTTGCTGCTACCTCATGGGCCATGGGTATATCGTTGGGTTTGGGGCATTCAATTTCAATCTTCACCCTTCCCTTCTGTGGGTCAAATAGAATCAGCCATTTCTTTTGTGATCTTATGCCTGTTCTGAGACTGGCTTCTACCAATACCTACAAAAATGAGGTGGCCATTGCCATTTTAACAGTGGTAGTTGACCTGACACCTTTTTTGCTCATTCTTGTTTCTTACACCCTCATTATCTTCACTATTCTCAGAATGCCAATGGCCAAGAATAGACGCAAAGCATTTTCAACTTGTTCCTCACATCTCACTGTTGTCTTCATTTTCTATGGAACTGTCATTTTTACTTACATTCATCCAAATTCAGAATATTCTGTGGACACTAACAGATTTCTTGCCCTGCTCTACACAGTAATGACCCCAAGCTTGAACCCCATCATTTATAGCTTGAGGAACAAAGAGATAAAAGCTGCTTTCATGAAATTAGTAACCAAGAAAACAGTCTTCATGAGGTAATAATCAAATTGTATCGGTTGGTTTTGTCACTTCATCCGATTACAATTTTGTCACATGTATGTATGGATAGAATAAAGCTTAGGAGATACCAGAGCTGTGGAATAACTCTAGAATAACATGGAGCTGGGAACAGAATTACTCAAAACAAGAAGAGAACCCTGACCAGAAATGTAACTTGATTATTCTGGTGGTGTGTAAGTAAAGGATTCACTGGCTATTTCCTTACAAAGAATGCTGCTAGACAGCTTGAAAAATGTGGAGGAAAAAAGGGTGAGAGGAAGAAGGAGGTAGTATTTAGGGCAGAAGGACCAAGAAGCTTGAGATCATACAGGTTCATTGCAAGAACAATGTCAACATCCTCTCCCACTGAGGAACTGATAACTCTTTGTCCATTGCAAGTGTATTTTTTTTAAAAAAATATATGCTTGGACCAGTTAGATTAAAGTCTACTTTGAGAAGATAATGTTAAGATTAATATAGTGAAAGTGAGCCGAGGTGGCGCAGCAGTTAGAGCGCAGTACTGCAGGCCACTTTAGCTGACTGTGTTCAGCAGGTCAGCGGTTCAAATCTCACCGGCTCAAGGTTGACTCAGCCTTCCATCCTTCCGGGGTAGGTAAAATGAGGACCCAGATTGTTGGGGCAATGTAAATATATATATACATTGCTTACTGGTGTACACCGCTTAGAGAGTGCTTGCACTTAAAGAGGTATATAAGTCTCATAAATAAATAAATAAATAAATAAAGTATCTATAGGTATCAGTCTATTTCCTACCCAAAATAAAAAAAATGAATGTGAATTAAGAAATTTCAGAATTCTATGTATAAATACAATTTTGTAGCTGTTGCGGAAATCATGAGTGCTTTTTAGCAAATGAGTTTTTACATCGGCAGTCATTTAACAATAGACTATATTTGGGTATGTAAAACCTCTCTAAATTATTTATAGAGAGGAGAAATTGTGCCTACGCTTGTAACTTTAAAATGGAGTACTAAACCACTTTCCTCTACAATAGGTGGTTTTAAACCGTTAATGGTTTGTAATGTATGGCATCAGCTAAGCAACATACACCAATCTTTCAATATCTTTTTCAGGAAAATGATATAATACAAACATCTATACAGGTAGTCCTTGACTTACAACTATTTGTTTAGTGACTATTCGAATTTACAAAAGTATCGAAAAAAGTGACATGGCTGTTTTTCACATGGATGACTGTTGCAGCATCCCCATGGTCATGTGATCAAAATTCAGATACTCAACAACTGGCATGTATTTATGACAATTGCAGTGTCCTGGGATCATGTAATCTTCTGACAAGCAGTCAATGGGGAAGTCAGATTCACTCCATAATCATATTACTAACTTAACAATTGCAGTGATTCACTTAACAGCTGTGGCAAGAAAGGTCATAAAAGAAGGCAACCTACTTAAGAACTGTCTTGCTTAGCAATGCAAACTTTGGGCTCAACTGTTGCTGTATATCAAGGACCACTTGTATGAATACACTGGGATATTCTTAAAACAGTTATGAGGGGAATGAATATGCCAGATGAGTAGAATAAAAAAAAGAATTATAAATTATAAATTTGCTACATTCGCAATTAGGAATTTATTAATGGAATCGAATAGAATCGCCTCATACTTATAAGCAATCGGAGAAAAAAAGAAAATAATTTGATGCCTTAGAGAATCAAATCTCAGTTTGATTACACTTTTTAAAGCAGAAATTTATGAGTTGAATGACAAAAATTAAAGGGAATAAAATGTAATAAGCTTTCTGACCTGTTGTATCCTGGGCCTGATGAGGAAACTCAGCAGGCCCAGAATTGTTGCAAATGGTCCCCGGCATGCTAAAAGCTGCCCGGGACCAGACAGAGCGGCACCAGCCTCGTGCGCATGCTCAAGGCGCAAAGAAAGAAGAACTCTTATTGGTTCACTCTGTCTGGGGTTCAAGCCCTATAAAAGGCCTGCGTGCCTTTTGCTTCTTTGCTTGGAGTTGGAGTAGGAGAATAAAGCATTGTTATTTGCCACCATGAGTCTTCATCATTCGCACGCGAACGGAGAACACATGACCCACCACCCATTTTGCTAGTGACCTGGGTCGTGCAGGGAGCAAGTGCACCTCACATAGAAGGATTTTATCTGGGCATCCCATTGTGTACTCAAAATTGCACTGAGTGCCACATTCTGGGCCAGACAGAACTTTTCTGTCATGGTTCCGACTGATGAACCCAACCAAGCAAAAACCTTTGAGACATTCTGGTCTTTTAATGTAAAACTTTATTGTGTATATCATTTCAGCATATATGAAAGCAAAACCAGCTCTAGCAAACCCCAGCCCAAACCCCTAGAGTTAAAAGAATAGAATTCCCCCTCCCATCGATGAACACCTGAGAGAGAGCAGCTGGTCCAAGATTACCCAGCTTAAATCTTACCTAAAATGGGACAAGAAATCACAATCTCTCCATATCTAGACTGATGCCTTAACCACTACACCAAACTGACATTCCAATTCATATAAGCCAGGGGTCTTCAAACCTTTTATGACTTGTGGACTTCAACTCCCAGAATTCCTCAGCCAGTATGCCTGGCTAAAGAATTCTGGGAGTTGAAGTCCACAAGTCATAAAAGGGCCAAGTTTGAAGATCCCTGATATAAGCAAACACAGCAAACAGAGAACCATTGAAATTGGACATAAAAATATCGAGTGTCTGAGGCCAATGGATTTATTAACTCTACTGAAAGGAATGATTTTACCCAGGTTTAGATTGCCCTCTGGTATTCATGTACTAAATCCCAGGATGAACCCTTGGGCTTCTCTCATGAGACATTGTTAGAGAAAAAGTTCCCCAGTCTCCCTGGAGTTTGAGATCCTCTGGGAATCTAGTGGCTCTTTCAGAGTCATTGATGTCAGTAGATGTATGTAGCCTACAGTATCAAATTTTTTTTTTCCAGATTGCATCAAGACTTAGGTATGGCAGGCAAATCTTCAAAGCCTCAAGTTGCCACTAAATGCAGCATTTTGAATTCTCTTTAAGAAGAAATATCTTATCTATTTGAAATCATCAGAAAAACATTCACAAAGTAAGATCAAATCTCATAATTTACCAAAGATCAGATTTGGTAGTTTGAGTCCTAATACTATGCATATTGAAGACAGAGAATTTAATTTTTAAATGATGTTAGGTAGAATGCTATGAGAGTTTTAATTTAAATTCTTTTGCCCATGCATTAGCATTTAATTCTTTTGAACCAGAGAGAGATGATGCCTGAAATTTCTGCAGATTTTTGTGTTCCTGTCTAGATGGAAAAGGACATTCTTTATATAACATGAATGGATTACAATGGATGATAAGCAATTAAAACTAATTATATTTAATGAGAAATTGAGCTGGCTTTATCATAAATTGGTTTCCTTGGAATTGCAACCTTCCAGGTACCTGAGGATTTTACAATTGCCAGTCATAATCTCAAAGTAGGTTCAGTTCTGAAAATATCCATAAATGAGTTGTCAGAAAGGTTCCTTGAATGGTTGACTAGCATGATATAATCAAATGCAAAGTGCATAAGAAATAAATTAAAAAACAGAATTTAATTGCAGTCTTTCTTAATTCTAAAGATTTGATCCAATTTGCTCCTTATGAGTAAAAATGAAGGAAGCAAGGGACAGGTCTTTAGTGTGAGAATCCTGTTGAATTGTTAAGAATAATTCTTTAATTCTTTATTTAACATTCCTCTTTTGTTCCCAGGTTTTAACATGAATGATACCATGAAAAAACACAATCAGTCCTGTCTCACTGAAATTGTGCTGTTGGGCTTCTCAGATTTCCAGACTTGGCAAGAACTTCTGTTTTCCCTAATTCTCATATTCTACCTCATAGCCTTGATGGGCAATGGTTTGGTTTTACTGCTCACCATTGTCAGTCCCACACTTCACACCCCAATGTACTTCTTCCTCTGGAACTTGTTCTTTTTGGAAATTGGCTACACCTCCTCCATCAGCCCAAAGATGCTAGTGAACTTATTATCAGAGAAGCAGACTATATCCTTTTGGGGCTGTGGATGTCAAATGTATTTCTTCCTTCTCTTTGGTGTCACTGAATGTTGTCTTCTTTGTGTCATGGCCTATGACCGCTACGTTGCCATTTGCAAACTCTTGCAGTACCCATATATCATGAATCTCAGGGAATGTGCTATGCTTGCTGCTGTGTCATGGGCCACTGGTGTTTTTGTAGGCTTGGGGTACTTAGTTTTAATCTTTACCTTTCCCTTCTGTGGATCAAATCAAATTAGCCATTTCTTCTGTGATCTTATGCCTGTTCTGAAGCTGGCCTCTACATATACCTACAAAAATGAGGTGACCATTTCTACATTGACAGTGGTAGCTGACTTGATACTCCTTTTGCTCATTCTCTATTCCTACATCCTCATCATCTCCACTATTCTTATGATGCCACTGGCCAAGGACCGGCACAAAGCATTCTCCACTTGTTCCTCACATCTCACTGTTGTCTTGATTTTCTATGGAACTATCATTTTTACTTACATTCATCCCAACTCAGCCAATTCTGCAGAAAATAACAGGATTTTTGCACTGCTTTACACAAAGCTTAAACCCCATCATTTACAGCTTGAGGAATAAAGAGATAAAAGCTGCTTTCATGAAGTCATTACGAAAGAAACAGACCTTCTACGGTAATAATTGAATTGTATCAATTGGCTTTAAGAGATTACATTTGTCCCACATATATTTGTAGAGAAAACCTTAGAAGGTACCAGAGCAGGTGTTCCTCTTAAGTCTGGACTAACACAGAGCTTGGAATAGATTTCCTTAAATGAAGGTGAACGGTAATGGATTATTCTGGTGGTATATAAGTAAAGGATTACAAGGAAGGCTGCCAGGCTGTTCAGAGAAATGTAGGGGAAAAGGGCTCAGGTGGGGATTGAGAAGAAGGAGGTAGGGCAGAAGGATCAAGATGAGATGCTAAAAGGTAGAGACCATACAGGTTAATTGATCAGCTGCATGCAGAACCCATTGTTGTGGTCCAACTGGGAAGTGTCTAAAGCTTAAGTTATCATAAGCTTGCTTCTCAAATCAGCAATAATGGTGTACAGAATAAATTGTACTGGCCGTAGAATTTTAAAAGCACACTGTCAACACTGCTAATATTGAATATTCTTGCTTTAACAAAATATGCAGAACTGACTGGTATTTTTAGAGTTAATTCAGATGATGCTGGGAGGAGGTGGGAGAAAGAATGCGTAGAGAGTAATTACGTGGGCTTCAGAAGGAAGTGAACATTTGCCCCCCCAGGCTGGTTGGAGAACGTGACTTATGACAGCAAAAGAGGGAGGGAAAATGCTAGCAAAATAACTGCTCTGGGATGGAGATTTCAGATCTTGGCATCCATCCATGTTGTGCCGACACTCTGTTACACAGGAATAAAGCAGTGGTTCTCAACCTTTTTAATGCCGCGACCCCCAACCGGTCGTAAGTCAAGGACTACTCAACCGGTCGTAAGTCGAGGACTACTCAACTGGTGCAGCACCATTTGCAGAATGGGACTTTTGGCAGGCTCAGCAGGGCAGAGACAGCATGGACAATTCCTATTGGCTTTTGAAAGCCAATAGAATTAGACTCTATTCAAGAGAATCTATTCTATTGGCTTTCAAAAGCCAATAGAAAAGGAGTAGCACAGCTAAGGAAAAGGGGAAAAAAATGGCGGACTGCGTTGTTTGACGACCCCCGTGAAATGGTCGTTCGACCCCAAATGGGGTCCCGACCCACAGGTTGAGAACCACTGGAATAAAGGCTTCAATTATGATGAATGAGATGACAGCATATTCTTCCCCCGATCAACTTCTTTGAAGTTCTTGTCCTCCTGATGTGTTAGAAGAAACCATTGTCAAGATGATTCAGCTTGTATGGGACATATGAACCAAGAGCATATGCCATGGTTCTCTTCATACTTAGGGAATCCAAAATAGCAATGCCTCCTCCCTCTGGAAATACCTTGTCCCATTCAGTCAGGATTGTCCTCTCATCTCATACTTCAAGATCATTAAATGTTTCTTTTCTATAGTGCTTTCAGGACAGATGATAAAAGGTGTCTGAAGACTTCTGTCCATTGTTGTCTCATTTTCAGCTGACTGGAAGTTTTTGGTCTTTGTGAACAGGATTGGTTAATGATGAACAAAGGGAAATATATTCATGGATATTTTTGATAATCTTGTTTTGTGATGTAAGCCACCTGGAACCTTGGCTAGATGAGGCCTCTTGTTAAATTTAGAGGAGTGTGTAATATCAATTAATGCTTCTTATGCCAGGATCCTTTCTCAGCCACCTGCCATGTAATAACATGATAAATCAGTTCTCACTGTAACAGCAGTTCATGCACTTTCAAAATTACAAAGCCAAGACTGATTAATACAGGTAATCCTCGACTTATAACAGTTCATTTAGTGACCATTCAAAGTTACAACTGCACTGAAAAAAGTGACATATGACTTTTTTCACACTTACAACCATTGTAGCATCCCCATGGTCACATGATCAAAATCCAGATGCTTGGTACCTGTCTCATGACGGTCGCAGTGTCCTGTGGTTATCTGATAACCTTTTGTGACCTTCTGACAAGCAAAGTCAATGGGGAAGCCAGATTCACTAAACAGCCATGTTACTAACTTAACAACTGCAGTTATTCACTGTGGCAAGAAAGGTTGTAAAATGGGGCAAAATTCACTTAACAACTGTCTCTCTTAGCAACAGAAATTTGAGGCTCAATTGTGGTCGTAGGTTGAGAACTACCTGTAGATGCTCAGAATCAATGCCTGCCCACTCATTCATTTTGGTGACTCTTTAGTGTTAAAACCAGCAAAATGGATAGTTTAATTATGGTGAATAAAGCACACACTTTGAGATTCAAACAATGTGGGTATCAGTGAGTGTGGAAGAAACCTGAATGGAACTGAAATTATCGGGTGATTCTGTAGTTCAGGCAAGACTTGGACAAGACATGCAAACTTTTTGAGGGTTGCCTTGGCAACTAACTTGACAAGTCCCTGACGTTTTCTTGATAAAATTTTGGAAGCAGTTTGACATTGTCTTCTTCCTAGAGCTAGCCCAAAGTCACCAACCTATCTTCTGTAGGACTAGAACTCACAGTCTTCCCATTTCTAGCCTGGTGCCTTAATCACTACACTACACTGACTTTCCAATTCCTATAAGATAAGCAAACATGGCAAGCAGTCAGGGAATCAGGGAATTTGGACACAAAAACATCCCGCTTCAGAGGTCAGTGCATTTGTTAATGCTTCTAAAATGAATGATTTCCCCCAGTTTGAGGTTTGTCCTATGGTGTTCGTTTAGCAAATCCCTGTGTTGAATACTTGGACTCCTGTCATGCGATCCCATTAAAGAAAAAGTTTCCCAGTGTCTCTGGAATTTTAGATCCTTTAGGAATCCATTGGCTCCTGCAGTGATGAGGATATTGGCTGATGCAAGCAGCCTACATAAAGATTATTTCCAAAGAAGAGGCTGCATGAATACTTAGGTATGAAAGGGAAATCTTGAAAATCTCAAACTGCCGGTGAATATTACAGCATTTCAATTTTCCATAAGAAGAAATATCTCATCTATCTGAAATCATCCGAAAACCATTCACAAAATAAGATCAGTACAGCATCATTTACCAGAGCCCATGGTCTATGTTTTGTTCCTGGTATTCTGTATCTGGAATATAGGTAAGTTATTTTTTAAATTATGTTTTAGGGAAAGTTATGAGAGTTTTGTCTTCACTGTTTGCTATGCATTAGCATTTAATTCTTTTGAACCAGGGACAGATGATGCCTACATTTCAGCACATTTTTATGTTCTGTCTAAATGGAAAATGACATTCTTTGTGCAACAAGAATAGGTCATGACTGATGATACGCAATAAAAATAAATGGAATTTTTTTCGCATTTAATGGGAAATTGAGCTGCCTTCATTCTAAATATTTTTTCTTCAACCTGCAATCCTTCAATTACCTGAGGATTTTAGTATTGCCAATCATAATCTCAGGGCACAGTTTCACTTACGAAAATTCAATTTATTTCAAAGGAAACCAATAACAGAGCTAATTATTATCGAATTCTTACTATGATCAGCGTCCATGAAATAACAAGTACATAAAAAATAAACTATCTGCCCTAAATTTAAAACAGCCATTTTAAATTCTAAGCACTGAAAATGTTCACAAATGAGTTGTGAGAAAGTGTCCTAGAATGATTGACTAATATGACATAATCAAATGCAAAATGAATAGGACACTAAATTAAAATTGCAATCTTCCTTCACTGTTTCCAAATGTTTGATCCGATTAACTACTTCTGAGTCAACACCAAGAAAGCAAGAATTGGTCTCTAGTGTGAGAAGCCTATTGAATTGTGAATACTATTACTTTAATTCTTTATTTAATATTCCTCTTTTGTTCCCAGGTTTCAACATGAATGGTACCATGAAAAAATACAACCAGTCCTGTCTCACCGAAATTGTCCTGTTGGGCTTCTCAGATTTCTGGATTTGGCAAGAACTTTTGTTTTCCCTCATTCTCATATTCTATCTCATAGCCTTGATGGGCAACAGTCTGGTTTTACTCCTCACCATTGTCAGTCCCACACTTCACAAGCTCTAGAAAAATCGGATCACAAACCCAAACTCTGGCTCAGATACATAGACGACACCTTCATAATCTGGCCACATGGAAAAGAAAAACTGGACAACTTCCTCACACACCTCAACAGCCTACACCCCAAAATACAGTTCACCATGGAAATAGAAGCTAATAACCAACTTCTCCTCCTGGATGTAAAGTCTACAAGAAATCCGATGGCTCCCTAGGACACACCATCTACCAGAAGAAAACACACACAAACCGCTATCTGCACGCTCTCTCACACCACCACCCAGCACAGATCAGCTCTGTAGCCAAGACACTCATCTCTAGAACAAAACGCTTAGCTGATGAACAACACCTAAAAACCGAATCACACACTCTCACTAATGTACTTACATCCAATGGATTCCAAAGAAATAAGATTACCAAACTAATCCAAAAAGAAACCCCCACTAAGATCCAAGACAGAGTACAAGAAAATGGCAAAGCCCTCCTCCCTTACATAAAAGGCACCACAGGCAGAATCAGCAATATCCTCCACAAACACAACATTAAGACAGCATTCTGCACAAACAGAAAAATATCCACCATCCTAAGAAACCCCAAAGACAAAATTGAGTTAAAAAATCAAGGAGTATACGAAATCCCATGCACCGTTTGCAATACCCATATATCATGAACTACAGGAAATGTGCTATGCTTGCCGCTGCGTCATGGGCCTGGGGTATTTTTGGGGGTTTGGGGCTCTCTGTTTTAATCTTCACCCTTCCCTTCTGTGGGTCAAAGACAATCAGCCATTTCTTCTGTGATCTTATTCTGGTTCTGAGGCTAGCATCTACCAATACCTATGAAATTGAAATGGCCATTTCTACATTAACAGTGCTGGCTGACTTGATACTGTTCTTGCTCATCCTTTATTCCTACATCCTCATCATCTCCACTATTTTCCTGATGCCAGTGGCCAAGAGTAGGCACAAAGCATTTTCCACTTGTTCTTCACATCTCACTGTTGTTTGCATTTTCTACGGAACTATCATTTTTACTTATATTCATCCAAACTGGGCATATTCTGAGGACAGTGACAGGATCCTTGCTCTGCTCTACATAGTGGTGACCACAAGCCTGAACCCCATCATTTACAGCTTGAGGAATAAAGAGACAAAAGCTGCTTTCATGAAATCAGTAGGAAAGAAACAGATCTTCCGGAGGTAATAAATGAATTGTATCAATTGGTATCAATTTCTCTATAATAGCCCTACATAGCACAGAAACTTACGAAGGTAGATTTCAGATGCCCAAATAAATGAGTTCTGAATGTACACAATTGATTATGTGCCAACCTCAGTGAAAAGAAAAGGAAATATAAGTCTATTCTTAAGTATATAATGGAAGGGGGAAGGGTTTTCCATTCACAGATTGGCATAATTTAACTATCAGGCAATGTCCATTCCAAGAAAGCCACCATGACATTGATGATCCCAATTAGACACTTCATCCCAACACAATGATCTCTGAGACATCTCTTACATAGTCGTATTGTTGTAGAAGTGAGAGACTTGAGTCAGCTCTTTTGAGGAAAGGGAAGTTTATTGCGCAGGTTCAGAGAGCTATTCACAGCTTAAAAAGTCTGAACGCCCAACAGGGGCATGGATGATCATATTTATAACCCCCAATACGTAACTATTTCCTGATCAAGACATATTCCATACATGGTTACATTCTATAGTTCCTTATTCTAACATAGGAAAGTTACTAGACATGGTTATTGTTGAGTCCGTGGCGGGAAAACAGACACGAGAAGCAGCTGGAGTTCTCAGTTTCTTTTATTCAGCGTTCAGCTTACAGAAGATGGCTTCAGCCTCGCCCAAACGCCTCGCAGCCTCCTATATAGGCAACTCCCGGGTAAATGGGTTACTTTTCCCGCGCCAGCACCCGCGCATGTGCACGGCGCTGGCGACAGCCTGTCTGGTCCCGGGCAGCCTTGCACCTGCCCGGGACTGCCTGCAAACGCCCGAGCCGTTTGCAAAGGCTCGGGACATAACACCCCTTTCCCCCGGGCTAAAACTACTACCAACATACAACATTTATTTTATACGACAATTTGCTCCCCAGTACTCCCACTGTTTACTGGCTTTTGCCTTGCCAGCAATGTTATGTAATCTTCTAGGTACTTAGGAGATTTCTTTGCTCTCTGTGACCTTCTTAGCTGTGGGTTACTGGCATAAGTCCCCTGACTGGAGGGAGGCGCGAGCCTGTTCTCTCTATTGTGCCCTGGTGTCTTCCAAGGACTGTGCCCCGATGCCTGGCCTGCTTGCTTGCCCACCGGGCTCGTCAGGCCAGGGCTTCTGTTGCTTTGTGACCTGGTTGACCTGCCTAGCTGTAGACCCTCGGGCCCCTTGAAGTGATAGCCACTGCTGGGCGTCTCTGTAGAACCTCCTAGGTCAGTCCAAGACCTGTCAGGAGGCTGTCCATTCCCTGAACCCCATTCTGTGCTCGGGCTCTTGTGGGTTTCTGTACTTTCCCAAAACTCAGGTGTTCCCTGATTTGTGCTAGGGGTGTTGTAGTCGGGACTTGGTTCCTCACTAGCTCTGTGTATGTTTGACCCTCTGTAGGATTTGGGGTAAGGTCAGGCCAACTTTGGGGATTGTGTGCCAGCTCTCTTGCGGGGAATGATTTGTTGGGATGCCCCGGGTATCCTCCGTGACTGGAGTGCTGTGTGACGTGTGTGGAAAGTGAGTATGCCCCCGGGGTGACTCCCTGGCTGGAGTAGGCGTGAGTGCCTGTTGTGTGGTAAGCTCCATGACTTCCTTTTCGGAGCAATTGCGGAATCTTGGGACGGGCCGTTTGTGGCTCCCTCAGTGGAGATGGGCAGTAACTCTTGCCCTTCCCTTTGCTCCAAAGGGTCCCCCTCCCCCCCTGGAAAAGACCCAGGAGTCTCATCAGAAAAGTCTCGCCTAGAGCGAAGTTGGTCGATGTGCCGACGCAGGACACGACCGTTGTCCAGGGCAACCTCGTAGGAGAGAGGACCTGTGATCCTGGACACAGAAGCGGGGACCCATGTATGACCAGGCCCGTAATTGCGAGCCCAAACCGGGGCACCCACAAGTAGTTGTCTAGGTGCCCTAGGATGTGAGGTAGATGAAGGCAGTCTGTCCGGATGCAACCGGTCAAGTCTAGTAGTAAGTTGGCGCCCCCAACGAAGTTCAGCTGGACTTCTCCCTGTAGAAGTGGACGGTGTGGTGCGATAAGAAAGGAGAAAGTCAGCCAACCTGTGATGCCAGTCCCCGTAGGTGAGTCTCTTCAAGGCGTCCTTTGCGATGCGCACCATGCGTTCAGCCATACCGTTGGTGGACGGGTGAAAAGGCGCAGACGTGGCATGACGAATCAGGTTTGCCTGTAAGAAAGCTTGGAATTCGGAGGAGGTGAATTGAGGGCCGTTGTCGGACACAATGACATCTGGCAGCCCGTGTGCAGCAAAAATCCCCCTCAGTACCTGAATAGTCTTTGCAGTGGTGGTGGATGAGACAGGCACAACCTCAAGCCATTTTGAATGGCTGTCAACAAGGACCAAGAAGAACTGGCCCTGAAAGGGCCCAGCGTAGTCAATGTGCACCCTAGACCATGGGGACTGTGTTTCCTCCCATCTATGCACAGGAGCTTGGGGCATCTCTGGGCGAGATCGTTGGCACAGGTGGCATGCGTGTACCTTAGCCTCAATATCTTTATCTAAACAGGCCACCACAAGTGGCTTCGTGCAAGAGCCTTCATACGAACAATGCCAGGATGACCCTCGTGGAGGGATTCTAAGACCCTAGTCCTCATTGAGGTGGGAATGACAACTCTGTTTCCCCAAAGCAGACAACCCTGAGAAAGGGACAGTTCGTTCCTTTTGGACCAGAAACTCTGAAACTCAGGACTAGGGCAGTGCTCAGGCCACCCGGACAGGACCCAGGAGCGGACACGTGAAAGTGTGTGATCTGTACCCGTTTCAGCGGTAACATCCCTGGCACTAAGAGGGAGCTCGGGCAAGGCTTGGATTGATAGAATGTTGACAGCTGGCGCGGGGTCAGCTTCTACTACTGGCAGAGGCAACCTACTGAGGCCATCAGCATGGCCCATTTCTTTCCCAGGCTTGTGGAGTAATGAAAAATCATATGCAGACAAAAAATAGACCACCTAAGCATTCTAGGGGAAATGATGTGGGGAGTCTGCTTACGTGTGGTAAACAGTCCCAGCAGAGGCTTATGGTCAGTAAAGACCGTGAAATGCCTGCCATATAGAAAATCGTGGAATTTTTTAATTCCAGCAACAACAGCCAGAGCCTCCCTGTCTATCTGAGCGTAGTTGCGCTCGGCAGAAGACAGTGTTCTGGAGTAGTATGCAATAGGAACCTGAGTTCCATCAGACCTGAGGTGACTCAGGACAGCTCCAACCCCGTAGGGGGACGCATCACAAGCGATGCACACGGAGAGACTCGTTGAAATGTGCAAGAACACTGTTAGAAGTGAGCAAGGCCTTGACTTCTTTAAAGCAAGCCTCATGTGCTTGTGACCACAGCCACACAGCTTGTTTGTCTAGTAGCCTGTGAAGAGGCTCAGCTACACTAGCTTTATGTGGAAGAAAAGAATTGTAGAAATTCAGGAGGCCTAAGAAGGCCTGAAGTTCGGCCTTAGACTTTGGCCTGGGTGCTTCTAAAATAGCAGTTAGTTTGGATTCAGCAGGATGAATCCCAGCAGCATCAATTTTGAATCCCAGAAATTCAGTAGAAGGCACCCCAATCTTGCATTTGTCTTTTCTGAGCTTAAGGCCTGATTTCCTGAATCTTAACAGGACAGCCCTAAGCCTTTCAGCTAGAATGTGTGTGGAGTCTCCTGCAATCAAGACATCGTCAAAATAGGGGCAGACCCCTGGTATACCTCGTAGTGTGTTTTCCATTACGCTTTGGAAAATCCCAGGAGCAACATTCACTCCAAACTGTAGCCTTTTTACCTTAAAGGCTCCCCTGTGGGTCACAATAGTCTGAGCTATGGCAGCATCATCATCAACAGGCAGCTGTTGATATGCTTGAGCTAGGTCAAGCTTTGCAAAAACACGCCCCCCCTTGAGAGAGGCCAGGATGTGACTGACCACAGGAACAGGATAGGCATGTTGCTGCAATGCCTTATTGAGTGTGCATTTGTAATCAGCACAAATGCGAATGTCCCCATTTGCCTTTAGAGGCGTGACAATGGGGGTCTCCCACGGGCTGGAATCAACAGGTTCTAGGATTCCCTGTTGGATTAGTTTGTCTAATTCAGCGTCAATCTTACTTTTTAAAGCAAAAGGGACCCTTCTTGCTTTAATCCTAATGGGAGTGACAGTGGGGTCTAGCTTTAAGGACACAGGTGGTCCTTTGAATGTGCCCAGCTGGGGGCTGAAAACATCTGCAAATTCTTTGCAGACTTCCTGTAGGTCGAGTGTTTGTAAGCTGTTGAGTCCTGTGACGTGTATCCCCAGGGCCTCAAACCAATCGAGTCCTATGAGACTCGTTCGTTCACCCCCTACTACTAATAAGTCTAGTGGACCTTCAAAACTCTTGTATTGCACGTTAAGGGTGGCCTCCCCCTTAACACACACTCTTGAGTTCTGAAAATCTGTTAATACAATATCAGAAGGCCTTAACTTGGCCTTAGACCCACTACTGGAACAAATCTTCCTAAATGTATGCAATGAAATGATGGAAAGGGCAGACCCTGTGTCTAGTTCCATAGATAATGGAACCCCTTGTAGCTTCACGTTGAGTGACAGCTTTTTCTTCATGGGCTTGTGTGTGCCTGTCCTACAGATGCTTCTTCGCGAAGCGCAAAAACCTACCCTATTCTGGCTGGGGAATCTGGTACCCTTCAGGCGTTCTTCTTGGGGTTGTGCCTTTCGTCGGCCCAGACACACAGCTGCGATGTGCCCTTGTTTGCCGCATGCCCGGCAGGTAGCGGAGCGGAACTTGCAGTCGGTTCTCCTGTGGCGACCTCCACAGCCGATGCACTTGAGCGGAGCCGAAGAGCTTCCCTTCTGGTTTCTTCCTTCGCAGGGTGTAGACGGTCGACTTCTTCGTCCGGCTCCTCCTCGGAGTTTCGTCGGACGTCTTCCTGGTGCACGGACGCGCCCTCTGCACTGCTTCTGATCGGCCGCATGTTCTTGACGGCGCCGCCTGCTGCTTCTTCTGCGGTGACTTCCCTTAAGGCGTCTTGGAAGGATAATTCTTCCTTAGCGAAAAGTCTCTGTTGTAGCTCTCGATGCCTTAGCCCGCACACGAATCGGTCCCTCAGTCGTTCCTCGAGGTCCTTGAACTCGCAGGGCTTGGCGGCCTTCCGTAGCGCGGCGATGTATTCCTTGGCTGTTTCACCGGACCGTTGATCCCTCTGCTCGAAGGTGTGGCGCCATGAGATAATGGACACCTTGGGGTGGAAGTGCTCTTTCAGCAGCTTCTTCAGGTCTGCGTAGCTTACAGACTCTACTGGAACAGGTGCTACAAGATTTTCTGCGATTTCGAAGGCGTCTTGGCCGCAAACGCAAAGCAGGGTGGCGGCCTTCAAGCTATCTTCCCTCACTTGGTTTGCCTTGAAGTAGTTCTCCATTCTGGATACGTAGGACTCCCACCGCTCTGGATGTGAGACGTCGAATTCCGAAAGCCTTCCGATTTTCGCCATCTTCGGATCTTCAGGAGACGGGTCTATCAGCCAGCCTACCCCCGAATGCGCACCGGATTGGCGGGCAGCTGCCGAGTCGACGCCGTTCCTCTTTCGCCGCTCAGGACTCCTTGGGTAAGCTTACACTTCTTCCTTTCCAGGTAGTGCAAGGCATCCCATCCGTCGCCAGTGTTGAGTCCGTGGCGGGAAAACAGACACGAGAAGCAGCTGGAGTTCTCAGTTTCTTTTATTCAGCGTTCAGCTTACAGAAGATGGCTTCAGCCTCGCCCAAACGCCTCGCAGCCTCCTATATAGGCAACTCCCGGGTAAATGGGTTACTTTTCCCGCGCCAGCACCCGCGCATGCGCACGGCGCTGGCGACAGCCTGTCTGGTCCCGGGCAGCCTTGCACCTGCCCGGGACTGCCTGCAAACGCCCGAGCCGTTTGCAAAGGCTCGGGACATAACAGTTATAATCTATAGTTCCTCTTTTAAACATAGGAATGCTTTTAGCAGTTAGCAATATTTCAAACACTAAGCAGTTTTCAATATATCATGTGATAGACAGTTTGCATTGTATCATGTGCAGAGCCGAGAACAGGATATCTGGCAATTCTAATTTTAAGGGTTGTCTGGTAGGCAGGAAAACCTCCCTTTCACCCACAATTTCTGGCCAGAAGACCCATATAGCCCAACACAATGTAAAACATCATCTCTGAGCCTTCGTTGCATTTCACTAAGATCTCACGCACTTGGGAATGCTTCTCTAATTCTGGAAAAGGGGGCTTGTTCACTAACCAAACAGCACAGATGGCAATCTGAACCAAAGAACAAGGCACAATAACCAAGATCAGTATTTTTCCAGCCTCCCACTTTAGTACGAGCTATCTATCTGGGCATGGATATCAGATGTGGAAAAGAGTGCAAGTTGACTGTTCAAAGCACAATTGTTGATGTGAAGGAATGAACAGATCATGAAGACTAAAATAGTTTTCTACTGACGTACTTCATTTGTGACCAAGGAAAGAGAAAGACTTAAGGAAGCCAAAAATGCACTCAAAAGTTCTTCAGAGGACAATCTTACCGTTTCTTTGAAAATACAACAAACACTGGCAGTTTTATTGAAGAAAAAAAACTGACATGCTTCATCGCTCATCCTATCAGGTGACTCCAGAGGAATGGAAGCTGTCTGGCCCTTCTTGGCTACTTGACTAAATGCTTGTTTCAAACCCCAGGCCTCTGAGTCAATCTCCAATTCAAGAAATGTGTTAAGCCTATGTTCAAAAGCAGTTCCATCAGCAGAGGACTTGTGAGAAGGCAGGTGCATATGACACTGCAGGATAGAGAGATCTGGCTTGTATAATCCTACCATTACCATGCCTATCCATTGTTTAGACAGTATGGATTTATCTGTGTCCTCCTCCATACTGGGGGAAAGGTATGCAGGTTCAGAGATGGGAAGAGAACACTTTCACTGAGCTGAGAAAGAGCATTCTCGGACCCTGTCACCACTGCATGCAAACAGGGATCTTGAACTTTCTACCAAAATATCCATCATTCTCCAGATTGTCCCATCCTGCTTTAAAAAAATCTTTGCCCAACTTCAGTATTGTATTTTCTTTTTTCTTAATGTTAGTTTTTATGTTAGTTCAAAGCTTTTAATAATATATATATTAAACAAAATGAAGAACGTATCTTTATTCAGGAAAAAGCACACAATTAGCCTTCAACTATTCTCAATTTTTCAGCTAACAAATGAGCCAATCTCACCTTAGAATCTTTCAGAGATTGTCTGCATTACGTCTACCCTGGCATTGTGCCTTTATTTTGAAGCTACAAATCTTAGCTTCTTCTTATGCAGTATCAATCATTCCTTTTCCTTACCATTTGCTCCTTTTTATTTAATTCAGGATGTATTATAATAATATAGCATTTGGGAAGGAAAATACAACTCAATAAACCAAAAGCAGAGGTTAAGATGGAGAAAATCTCCACGGCTACCATCAATTTGCCCTTAGTGCTCAAGTAGGTGGGGATGAAGGAAATCCAAACACTGCAAAATACCAACATGCTAAAAGTGATGAACTTGGCTTCATTGAAACTGTCAGGCAATTTCCTGGCAAAGAAAGCCACTGTGAAGCTGACAATGGCCAGAAGACCCATATAGCCCAACACAATGTAAAACATCATCTCTGAGCCTTCGTTGCATTTCACTAAGATCTCACGCACTTGGGAATGCTTCTCTAATTCTGGAAAAGGGGGCTTGTTCACTAACCAAACAGCACAGATGGCAATCTGAACCAAAGAACAAGGCACAATAACCAAGATTGCTAGCCTCTTTCCCATCCATTTCCTCATCTTGTTCCCTGGTTTTGTAGCCACAAAAGCCAGAACCACAGTGATCGTTTTGGCCAGTACACAGGAAACAGCAACAGAGAAGGTGATACCAAACACAGTCTGCCTTAAAAGGCAGGTTTCCTTGCTAGTTCTTCCTATGAAGAAGAGGGAGCAAAGAAAACATAGCAGCAGAGAGGTGAGCAGGATACATGTGATGCTCCAATTGTTGGCTTTCACAATGGGAGTGTTCGAGTGTAACCTGAAGATTGCCATCACAATAAGTGTGGTCAGAGAAAGAAAATGTGCCAAAGATGTCAGAGCTGTTGCCAGGCCATCTTTATAGGACAGGTAAGTCATTACTTTGGGAACGCATTCTTGTTGATTTGTGTTAGGATACTGTTCTTCTTGGCAAGACTCACATTCATCTGCATCTGAAGATCCCAAGCATAAATTCATTATTTGAACTTTGTACTAATATTTTTCATACTTCCTGCTCTTTATATATTATTTGATGTAGAAAAGTTAGTATTAAACTCTACAAAAGTCTTTTAAAATGATGGTCCCCAATCTTTTCAGCTTTCTGGAACAGTAACAGCACGGGCAGTGGTGGGGAGAGGGAATAGTTTTGCACAAGCAATGGGTGAGCACACACAGCTCCATTTGCATGGGCAGCAGGTGCACAAAGCTCACACAAATGGAGATTCACGTGTTCATACATATGCCTGCACACCACTTGCATGACCCAGTTCTGAATAGGCACACCTTGGGGGTTGGGGTCCCTGATTTAAAAGCACAAATCAATATAAGAACAGCCTTTGAATACACTACTGAAGATCATAAACCATAATAAAGTCATTAGATGTATGTGAGAGAGAAAGAACAAAATAGAAAATTTCTGGATGTTTTCCTAGATAGATCTGAATTCTACACTACCCATTTGTGTTGAGATCCTCCCTGAAGCACACGGAATGCAATCATAACAACAGATTTGTTTCCCCTGCTGAATTAGTTTGCTTTGTCCAGGATGGCAGCTCTCAACACAGGTAGATTTTGGCACCATCTGTTAATATTGTCCAGAAAAAAAGAGTCTATAGAACAAGAAATAGTTTTCTCCTCTCGATGATAATTCTGAATTACATACGTTTGGAAAAGATAGATTTTAGAAATTATGAATCAGGTTATTAATATCATAGAAAGATTCCTAATTTCACAACTATCTAACGTTGGTAACTCTGCATTTTTCTTTTCCCCCAATATATTTTCTAAATTCAGCTCTCTCAACAAATTTCCTTGTTGTTCTCCAGATTGTGTGTGTTAAATACCACTCAAATGATACCGATATTAAGTGTAAGAAAATATAATAGTTCTAACCTGATGAAATGTGGGATTCCACATAACGGCACTTGCATTAATGATGAATTCTTTTCCAAGTTGAAAACTGGGATCGATTCTTCCAACTTGGACTCTCTGGAAAGATTCATTGGGAAATGTCACCAAATTGATGAGGTCATAGCCTATCGCTAAATCCCTCTCTTCATCGAGAAATATTTCATCTCCAATGTTATTGTTAAAGTGGACTTGTCTCAAAAATGAATTAAGCTAGAGGGAAGGAGAAATGGGTTACTGCTCTAAGGAAAAGTAACAGTCACTTGGAACATCAATGATATGACATTTAAATTGAGATATGATGCAGTACTGAAAATTAATGTTTTCGAAGAACATCGAGAATCGAAAAGGTTTTATCTAGCCAGAACATGAATGGTTAACCATAACAGCAATATTTTTCATCTGAATCTGAAACCAGGGACTCATTCCATTCTGTCTAAACTATGTAAGATGACAGAAAGGATTTTTTTCCCCTTTCCCTGAGAAACTACAAGTCTGCCTATCAAATTCATTCTCCAGAGACTCACTTCTCCCATTTTTGAATGACGTGGATAAATATTTTGTTTCAAAGAAATCAGGCTATGTCCGTTCATCACTTTTTTATTTCTACCTAAATCGTAACTAACTTACACCTTTTCTGGAGCACTCCAGCTACAAGCAATTTAGGCCTTTTTACTCATTTGGGAGAAGTAGTCAGTACTTACTGTTTATTCCTCTTCTGATAGTGGGATTAAATATCTGGTTGTTTTTGCTAATTTGAGAAGGAGCCAACCCAGAATGGATTAGATCAGGGCTTTTCAACCTTTTCAACCATTGTACCACTTTTAGGATATGCCAATAACCGAGTACCACCAGTCGCCTAGCAAGGTGTCAAAAACTTGATGACCAAAAAGAAAAAAAAAGGAAAAAAGTGATAAAGTACAGGTAGTCCTCGACTTACAACAGTTCACTTAGTGACTGTTCAAAGTTACAATGGCACTGAAAAAAGTGCCCCTCAAGCCACAGCCGAGTAAGATACCTGCCTGCCCGCCTAGTGGCGCTCTTCCTCCTGTCTGAGATTTTCATTGTTGGGAGCATTTCTGTTGAGGATTGGCAGCGGAAGTGGGGTGGAGGGTTGTTTGGTTTTTATTCCCCCCCCCTTTGCTGGGTGGTTGCAGCAGGTTTTGGTCACTTCACATGACCCTGGGACACTGTGACTGCCATAAATATGAATCAGTTGCCAAGCATCTGAATGTAAATCACAAGAGCCTGGAGATGCTGCAACATTCCAGCTGATCAGTGCTTCTTCTGGGCTCAGCAGAAGTGCCAGGATCAGTGCTGCTTTCCAACTGATTGGTGCTTCTTTAGGGCTCAGCAGAAGCACCAGGATCAGCACTGAGCTCCAGCTGGAGTCTGGCACTGATCCTGGTGCTTCCACTGAGCCCTGACAGCCCCAAAGAAGCCCCAATCAGCTGGAAAGCAGCACTGATCCTGGCGCTTCCACTGAGCTCTGACAGCCCTGCCACTCCAGCCATCTCTCACTCAGGCTTGTGTGGTGCTTCCACCCGTTCAGCTCATTCCCTTCCCCCGCTACCACTTTTCTAGGATGGTCATGTACCACCTGCCAGGTGCCAATGTACCACAGGAGGTACCCATACCACTGGTTGAAAAGCCCTGGATTAAATTATCCATTTTCCCTATGGTGTTAAATTTAGCATCAATTTTAAATCAGTATCTCATTGGTGCATCTGGACTCTCAATTTCTAATTCACTTTAAATATTTTATAAGGTATCTCCATTCTCTCAACATTCTTCTAAAAACATTCACTTGCTTTTCTTTGCAGTTTCAAATGTTGGTTGTGTTTACTGGTTTATCTCTGTTGTTACATCATGTATGCTTCTGTTTTAGTTCTCTTTTGGTTTTCTAAATTATTTTGGTTTTAATGAATTGACCAATTTACTTGTGAATACCTGCCAGGGAGGAACATTTTGGAGATTCCATTGGCCTTGATTCCTGCTTCCCCTCCGTTTGTTCCTCCAGGAATACAAAGCATGGAGAGAATGTGCCACAAGGTAAACAGCATTGTAGATGCTATAACTCCAACCAGACATCCCCATTTCAAAGACAAAATCAGGAAGGCTCTCCAGCTTCTCTTCCCCAGTGCAATTCTTCATTTTCTGTCCATAAATTATATGGATGTTGAGTGAGCAGAAGAATGTTGATGTCCAGAATTCAGACAGGAAATAAAATGTAGACTTCAGAGGATTTATTTTCTCAAGAAATTTCTGAAATCCTGGCACATCTTTGGTATGGAGTGAGAATGATAGGGTTCCATTGAAGGATTTTTTGCTAAATCGTCTGGCAGGGTTCTGAGCAGTGAAATCCCATTCACATGTTGTGATCCACACCTTCTCCAGAGGCTTCTTACGGCCAAATTCCATTGAGTATAAAACCATCTGTAATCCTTCCAGAGACTGGCCATTTCCATATACAAGGAACACATTGATTTTACTTTGGGAGATAACAGATTGAATTTGAAGGATTTTTTTCTCAAGTATCTCTCTTAATAAATATAGTGACATAATTGGGATCATCTGTATCCCAGCTATGCAAATATTATTTTGTAGAAGCTTGGGTCTCAAAGTTCGAAGAAAGTTTTCACCACTTTCATTGTCTGAAACAATTAGACTAACCCAATTCCATCCAAAATATTTCAGAAGTTGAACTATCCCCATGTATTGAAAAGCTTCATTGGGAATCATTCGGTAGAAAGAAGAAAAACCAATTTTCTTTCTTAATATGGGGTCAAAGGAGCCATAACTAACCTGGGGAAAAACATTTTAAATCACAGAAAAACATTCAATTTTGCATACACTCTTTTTAAATGGCTGCTAATATTAGATACAAATTTACTGGACATTCTTAAAAATCCACTTTAGTATATTGTTTGGTGAGTGGATGGACTCACTTACATTGCCCATGGGTGGTCCTTTTTTTTAATTAAAAGTTTTTGAATTTTACAATGAAATCCCTCTCCCACTACCTCCCTACCCTCCCAAAAACCCTCCCCCCCTCTTCCCAGAGCTGAATACAGGGTTAACTAGAACTAAGATCATGGGTGGTCCTTTTGAAGATGAGAAATACCAGTTAAGTAGCTTTCATATTTATGTGGTCACTAAGAATCAACATCAACTTGATGGCACATAGTCAGACAATCAATCAATCAATCACTCAGTGTATTTAGTTTGAAATTCGTGGAAAGGATATGAAAGAAATTTGATTTCTCTAGTTTACATTTCAAGCTTGCAGTAAGCCAGGTCCTCAATTAGAAGTAGATGTAAAATGACAGTTCAAACAATAGAAGAATTTACATTTACCACTGAGACTTAACAGTTATTCTCCTTTTCCTTCTATACCTATTTCCAAACATTTACCTGAGGAATCTTGTAAGTACTTAAGATGTTGGCCATGTGAATAGAATTTTCAGAGGTGAGTCCCCCAATGTTGGCCATGCCTTCCTTTTCAGTGATACAGTAATAATTGAGTGGATCCCCTTTTCTTAGAAAGAGAAGATTGAAAGTGGTCCAAGTGGTTCTCCATGAATTGTATGCATTGTCATAAATCTGGGACGCTAATGTGTTGTTGGGTAATAGATTGGGATTCTTATTGATTTCTTTAATGGCAAAAACAAAAGCAAGGACATGCTGGTAGTTTTTAGGGATTAGACTGCAAGAGAATTTTTAATGTTAGATCTTAAAGGCTAATAATTAAGTGACTTACAGCTTAGATCATCGCTTGCCCATAGAGCATAACTGAATATCATTCTCTATATGATGGGAAACTCTTTCTGAAATAAATGCTTCAGATATTCCCCTAAAGCAAAGTGAATAAGTTTCTTTCTTCTGTCATTAATGCACATACTATATATCTGTCTATATATTTTAGGTTTCTTTTTTAAAATTGATACTCTTTTCTTTTGCATTTTATTATATATCTCAATGGTGTAATTCATACAAGTTATAGATGTCATAAAGAAACTATGCTCTTAAATCAGAGAGATGGGGGAGACAGACAGAGAGACAGAGAGGATCTAATCTTCCAGGTAAAGTATATAAGGATACACAAAATTTTGGATGTATACTTTGGATATACAAAATTGCTTCTCCCTTTACGCATCCAAAGTACATTATTAAATATAATATAGCCATAGACATACTTTGTCAGGGTTTCTAATGAAAGGAATTAGGGATGTAAGAATTCCTAATTACTCTCATTCAACTTGCACAAGGTACTATACCCAAGAAATGAAACAATATCTTGGAATTAACATTTTTAAATCTTATTATTTATTCCTTATTGTCTACCAGAGGATCTAAATTGTACAGAGAGAACTATTAGGGCTCTGAGCAAATCCATCTTCACACACAGACTATCTATATGTTTTCAGTCAAAAGTTAATAGCTGAAACCTGCCTCCCACCTCAATTTCTGCTATAAGTGTGCTTGGCATACAAAATGTCAAAACATGGAGAAAATTTGAAGACAGAATAAGAGATCTATCATTATTTAGAAATAATCATTTAGGTGGGGAAAGTAAGAATGATCATCAGACCCAAACAGAATCTTCCAAGAATGAAAAACCACTGAAGGTTTTTTAAACAAAGAATGTTATGAGGTCAGAGACACCTTAGATAAAAATGAAGAATTACTTACTAAGCTTGTGTTGGTGAAGAAAGTGGATGTTCCGTAAACTTCTGTTCGCTATAATTACCAAGTGTCATGGATACAAATTCTCCAATTATAATTTCATCTGAAAGATCTGAAGGGTGTGTGGAAACTTTTCGCTGATAAGGATCTTTTAGGTTCAAATGTTTTCTGAAGGAATGGTTGAGCTTTACAAGCAGGAAGATTAGAAAAAGAGCTAGGAGCTCTTGAGTCAAGGCCCACCCCAATCTTACCACCATGATAAACAAGCACCCAGCACCTTGATCAAAAATTCAGGAAATAAAAGTGAATAATTGTGCTGTTGTCAAATGTGGATCAAAGAGTGATATTAAAAAAAAACCTTTTGGCAGGGCTTTTATGCAGTAAGCACAACTTGTCAGAGCTGAAGTGGCTTTGCAGTCATCGATATTCTACCTCTCACAATTTTCTTCCATTAATCACTATCATTATGGCAGTTGTAGGGCATCAAATCCCTGTTGACAAAGAAGATGATCTCAGCAGAAACTCTGTATTATATACCACCCAAAGTCCCTTTGTTTGAGTTAGGTGACATTTATTTATTAGTGCCACATATTTATAACTTTTCTTATAAACAGCTCAAGGGGCAAACATATACAACCTATCTTCCTCCTCCTATTTTCCCTAAACAGCAACCCTGTGAGGTGATAGGCTGATAGAGAGCAACTTGCCCAAGATCATCCAGCTGGCTTTAATGGACTAGAACTCATGGTATCCTGATTTCTAGCCTGATGCCTTAACCACTAGACCAGGGGTCTTCAAACGTGGCCCTTTTATGACTTGTGGACTTCAACTTCCAGAATTCCTCAGCCAGGCACACTGACTGAGGAATTCTGGGAGTTGAAGTCCACAAGTCATAAAAGGGCCAAGTTTGAAGACCCCTGCACTAGACCATACTGGCTCTTATAAATTGAGTAAGTAAACAAATCAGCAATAAAATGCTTCTCTTCCCTCATTCTTCCACTGTGGGAATTAACAAGCCTTTCCATTTTTGCCCATATAGGATTCTTACTGCTGTCAACATATGTATTAAATTTCCATTTTTTTTCCAAATTCTTCATCCAATAGTTCTAAAAGAAAATCTTCTGGTTTCAATTTTATACAGTGGTACCTTGGTACTTATCCTTAATTGGTTCCAGTGAATACCAAACAATGAGTACCAAACAAATTTCGATTAATATAGTGAATCACAAAGCAGCTGACACCAACAAGTGTTTCCTCAATGAGTACTGAGATAAGATTTTCACATCAAAATGTGTTGAGTATCAAATTCAATGAATTTCAAAGCAGTTGAGCTGGGTGCGGTTTTGCTAGGATGCATCTGGCCCGGGGCCGGCAGTTTGACATCCCTGCTCTATATAATGACATTAGCTAATTTTTTTCTTTTAACAACCTTGCAATCCCTTGCATCAGGATGGATTTGGGGCAACTGAATGGAGCTCAAGTGTTTACTGGCCAGATGCCCTTCCTGATGTCTATGCAGAGTACACAGCGGACAATTACTTATTGTGCCCAGAGAGAGAAATATCTACCACTACACATAGGATCAAACCCACAGCCTCCTGATTATGAGAAGAGAGCTCTACCTCTAGGTCACTTCACCCCACCCCTCAATGACATTAGCTATTTAGTTGTGGCCAAATTGTAGAACATCTTTACATCTCTCCTGTGCTTCTACTTTATCTTTTGGTAAGATGCTGAAATCTTCCATTCTAACATGTTAAAGACAAAAGGAGTGTTTAAGTGACAAAGTGGAAATATGTGTCAGTATAGTTGCATTCTCCAAAAATGAAAAGAACAGAAGAAGAGATAATTATTCTTTATACTTCTTCAAAAAAAATCAAACTAACAACTGGCAAATACAGTGGTACCCTAGTACTCATTGTTAATTTATTCAGGGAAGCATGATGAGGACTAAAAATGAAGTGTACCAAACAATGTTTTCTCATAAGGAATAATGGCAGCCAATGCTTAAAAGTTCAAGCTTGTGCATGAAACAAACAATGAATACCACCACAAAATTTTCATTTTTCATGTTGAAATGTATTGACCACCAAATTTGATGAGTTTGAAAGCAGTTGAGTACCAAGGTACCACTATATACTTTACTTCCTTCATTCATTCATGGAAACTAATTCCTAAGAGAAGGGAGTGGTCAAACTAGCACTTTGCTGCTACCCCCAAAATTATACAACTATATCTGCATGGTCACTAAGCTTTTGAGTGATAAAACTATGCTGGGTTATTTTAATGTTATTATTTCTATTGTATTTAATGCATGATTTATTACGTATATGCCATTTTTTAAAGCCACTGAAATTTCTGGGTTTCTTTTTTCAATTAAAGCAATGTAAGAGTTTGGAATAATATAAAGCAACGTGCCTACCTAATATACCTCTTTGGTTGCCATTTTAAGAAGTTTTTTTTTTTTAGAAAAACAATGACTATCAGACCAACCTGATTGACCTATTGAAATATGGTTTAGTCATAGTGAATCTAATTTCAAGCTGAAAGAAGAATTGCCGTTCCTCATCCTTCACAGAGGATGGTGAGTTTTGATAGAGGATCAAGCCTCTTCTTTTCCACTGCTTCAGGCAACGATGCATGAGATCCCTCTCTCAAAACTCACCACCTCTTTCAAAGTGCATCAAGATCAAAGCCCTCTAGACAACTATTCAGCCACCATGATAGAGCAGTAGTCAGCAGCTGTATCTGTCTCTTTCAGCAATGAACAGGAAAAAAATGGAGACAGGAAGTTGCCCAGGAATCCAGAGGGAGGGAACATCCACAACCAATTTTAATGAGTTAAGTAGCTGGTGCCTACAAAGTGGTCTCCATTCTCCACAGTTCATCCAATTGCCCTTTTATTAGAACAGAGTTCTAATAAAACTACAGTTTCTTTTTCCAATATGACCATTTCAGCAAAGCGATGGGCAGAAGAAATAAGTATTTTTTATGAATTAGGAGGTTGTGAGAGGAGAAGGGAGAATTTATCTGGCTATTAAATTATCTCTTCCTCCTTTTAACCAGCATTGCTTTCTTTCGATAGGGAAAGCAAGACTCAGCTCCCCAAATCTGTTATGATCCCAAGATCATTTCTTTCTTTCTTTCTTGATGAGGAGTAGCCAAGAGATGGGTTTGGACCACAACATTTCATCAACTGGAAAAATAGTTGAATAGCTTTGAGAAAGGGGTTTGCCTACCTCATAATTATCAGAATTAATTAATTAATTAAACTTGTTTTTTGGGAAAGCACAGAACACTTAAACACTTAACAATTTAATTTTACTATTAACAACAACTTCATGAGGCTCAGTAGGTTGCATTATGAATCACTCAGATGATAATTATTGTAATCTACAACTTTAGTTATGCATAAAACCAACAGAGACTCTCTTTCATTGTTGCAGGCAAAGTGCTGTGATGAAGATGTGCTTGCAGTGCTGTGATTGGAGCCAAATTCCTTTGGCATTCAAAAGGACTCAGATACTTTGCCATGTGTTTCTACTCTCTGTCCTTTTTCTCCAGGCTTCTTTCAGCAAGACCTTTAACCCCATGTGTGGTGACAAACGACATTTTAAGCTTAATTTCCCTGCCCTCTCCAATGATATAATCATTGGAGAATTTGTGTCTACTATATATCCTGAATTGCCTTTACTCCACTTTATGGAACACCCAGAAGGATCCTTGCGTGGAAAGCAAGTACTCTTTTGAAAGAAACCTTTCAGGTTTTTTTTTAATGTGATTGAATTCAAGAGATTCCCATTAAAATTTTTCCACTGTAGATGAGAATCAAAACTGCTTTAGGCATGATTCTTATTTATAAATCTCTCATAGTCAGGTGCTAGAATATAGCTGTTGAATGTAGCCTTGTAGATTCCTGGTTTTTTATGTGGCTGTTGCTACACAAGAATTAATCTGATCATAAAAAAATCTTCTAAGTTTAATTTTAACAATATTGTTCCTCTATTTTTTTATTTTGTATACAAAAAGAAAAGGAATCCTTTTTAAAAATATCTAGCATGATATTTTAATAAAATTTATAAATATATATCTATGATTCTCATAATATATAATGACATCATTAGGATTTTATCATTTATTCCTTATTTGCAAACACTTCTATATACCAAGACTTTTATTTTAAATAGATTGTGGTTGCTTGAGATTTCTATTTATCATGCAGTATGTCTCCTTAGTACTTTAAGGCATAGAAAGGTGGGTCATTTTTAAATGTATGAGTGTGATCAAATGTTACAGTACATTTTGAGAATTTGGATTGTCTTAACAGTTGGCACAATTCATCAGTTTCTGCCCTCCAATTTCATTGCTATGCTACACATAAGAAACAATCCTTTTAATTGCATTAAAACCCTGTTTTAAACTTCTCAAAGTATGATGCACAGATGCCCACATGATCCTCAAGTGACATTCAGACATTCCAACAAAGCTCCTCATTCCATACTTTCCTCACCTCTGGAATATCTTAACTAATGAAATTTAAGAATGAAGGTTTTATTCTTTTTCAAAGAAATGCTTCAGAACATGCGGGCACTCTTCACTTCTCTAATACTCATTAAAGCAGACAAATACATCATTTTAGGCAAAGAGAAAAGCATTATCAAAGAAGTCTATCTAAATCCAATCCTTGTCACATTCTAAGATTGTAGAATTAACTGAAACTCTTCTTGCAGGCCGTTGCCTAAAAACCTACAGCATACCCTAGCCTTCAATTTTGCCATTCAGGAGATCAACATGAATGAGAACTTGTTACCCAACATCACCTTGGTCTCCAAGGTCTATGACAATGGTTTTCAAGCACTGAAAGCCTCTGCGAACCTTTTGACTCTTTTCTTTGTTGAAGGCCGTTGTCCCCTCAATTACAGGAGGGGAAAGAAGCAAAACATCATGGCTGTCATTGGTGATCTCCCTTCCCAGAACACCATACAGATGGCCAACATATTAAATGCCTACAAAATTCCACAGGTAGGTATCCGGGCTCACATAAATGCACAAGAAAGGAAAGAGTGGTGGTTAAAAGTGGAGAGAACCCCTCAAAAACAGCTGCAATATTGGGGAAGTGATTTGGGGTAGTTTTTACTTATTTATTTATCTTTCCAGAGAAATGTAAGGTATCAATTACTATTACAACCACAGTAATTCTTAATAAGCACAAACATATTTAGTTTGTAAGAATTGGTGTAGGTATCATTATTTCTGT